GATCTGAGACTCAGAGACTATAAAATCCAGATCCCGGACGAGACCAGTGCAGTCTCTGCCCCCGCGCCTGGGAGTTCCTTCCCGGAGTCCCTTGGAGGGGAGCGGGTTGAGCTTTCCTCCCCGCCCCGACCAGGGCTACGGCAGCCGAAGACCTCCAGGACCAGCCACCACCATGCTGAGACCACTCTCCGCACACATGAAGGTACTGGCAGAGGGACAAAGCCACGCGGGTTCCGGGGCCGAGACCTCCAAGCCTACTCGAATTGGAGTCGAGCATCTTCCACCCAGATCCTCCAAATTCCAGTAGGCGGGGGTCACACCCACCACCTGGCCCCCTGGTGCCGTGTAATCCCATCAGCGGCCAAGACTCAGAGACTATAAAATCCAGATCCCGGAACCGCGCGGCCGCTTTCGCGGCCGCACGACATCTTAACAGAACTTTTTTTTATGACATCTTATTGTCTTATTTCTACTTTGGACAAACTTGCAGGTTATCGAATGTAGCCTGCCCACAGGGCAGAGTCTGGCAAACTCCCCGTGGCATACCAAATATGCCAGATACCAGTAACAATGATGGGTCTCACTCTCCTAAATAGCCTTGAATATAATTTCAGGGCTAGGATGAAAGAGACGTTACTGGGGCCTGCTCGAGGCAATCGACGAATAACAGGATGATGAAATGAAATGAAATGAAGAAGCTTCTGCACCGCAAAAGATACAGTGACCAAACTACAAAGACAATCTACAGAATGGGAAAGGATATTCGCCCAAATACCCATCCAATAAGGGGTTAATATCAAGGATATACAAAGCACTGGTTGAACTCCACAGGAAGAAAACATCCAACCCCATCAAAAAATGGGGTGACAAAATGAACAGAAACTTTCTCAAAGAAGAAATCCGAATGGCTAAAAGGCACATGAGAAAATGCTCTACATCACTAATCATCAGGGAGATGCAGATCAAAACAATAATGAGATATCATCTCACACCACAGAGACTGGTCCAAAGCCAAAAGAACAAAAATAACTGGTATTGGCGCGGATGTGGGGAGAAAGGGACTCTCCTTCACTGCTGGTGGGAATGTCAACTGGTTCAGCCCTTTTGGAAAACAGTATGGACAATTCTCAAAAAATTAGAAATTGAGCTCCCATTTGACCCAGCAATACCACTCCTGGGAATACATCCCAGAGAGGCAAAAAAGTATAGTCAAAATGACATCTGCACCTCGATGTTCACTGCTGTACTGTTCACAATAGCCAAAATCTGAAAAAAACCTGAGTGCCCGAGAACAGATGGATAGTTAAAGAAACTTAGGTACATCTACACAATGGAGTACTATGCAACTGTTGGAAAAGGTGCAGTCATGAAATTTACATACAAGTGTTACTACATGGAAAGTATGCTAAGCGAAATGAGTCAGAAAGAGACATAGAAAGACTGCATTCATCTGGGGAATATAAAGTAACAAAATAGGAGACTAACATCCAAGAATAGGTAAAGGTAAAGGCCCTCCCGTTGATTGTCAATTTGCTCGAGCGGGCCCAGTAACGTCTCCATTGGAGACTTTGTTGTTACTGTGTTTGGCATATCAAATACTCTCGGTAGCTTGCCGGGCTCACCGAAACACCCAAGAATAGTCGAGATAAGTACCAAGAGGTTCGCTCCATGGCTTGGAGGCCAGCTGCACATGCTGGGGGAAAAGGCAGCTTAGATAGAGAAAGGAGCACCAAGTAAAGGGTGTTGAGAGGACCCTCCCAGGATGAGCGATGCATGCTGAAAGTAGACTATAGACCGAACATGATTGCTACACAATACCTCTTTTGCAAACCACAGCACCCAAAAGGAGAGAGAACAAAAGGGAATGACCTGCCACAGAGGCAGGGTGGGATGGGGGGGGGGGGGGATACTGGGATCATTGGTGGTGGAGACTGGACACTGGTGGAAGGATGGGCACTCGATCATTGTATAACTGAAACCCAAGCACAAAAATTTGTAAGTCTACAACTGTACCTCATGGTGTTTCACTAATAAAAATTTAAAAAAAGTTATTCATGATTGGATTTCAGTGATACAGTATTCCGACAGAAACCTATTAATATTAAAGGAAGCATTTATTAATATTAAAAGAAACTTTTATCCTCCAATATGTAAGTTCTGAAGTTGAAAATAACCCATACCAAAGAAAGAGAACAGGAATGGGTATCTAAGTATATGGTTGTTACAAAACAATGTTTGCAAACTGAAAATGTAGTATGCTTCACATGGTACAAAGACCTACTGAAATTAGAAGTTACTCAAGCTTTCCAGAAACAAGAAGAAAGAGTTCATATAAAAACAAATACGTTGTTGCTAAATCCAGTCTTACATGGGAGTTATTTTGCTTACATATCTTCAGTCATATAAATTAAAGGGCTATAGGACAATTTTTCAGGCTCAGTTTTGGTGCAAGATCAGGGATGCCTTATTTCAAACCAAACTGACTGGCACACTTGTAACTAAAAGCCTCCTTCAGCTAACTGTGGATTAGAAAACAATGAGTTGTTATGGTTTCCTTGATAGTTAACCAAATGACAGGCATAGACAGTAGTCAAAGTCTATGTGAATATTAATCAGGAGATAGGGCACTTAGGCTTTGTTGCAATTCAGAGCTCGTAAAGAAAGAATTAACCAGAGGCTCTAGGAAATTGGAAGGTTTTTAAAAGGCCAGAACTGGATTTTTTACATTTTTGTATTCTGTGATGTCATTGGTCAGGTTCAAGCAAATCTATTAAATTCCTTTAAATTTGACAGAAAGCAAATCTATCCCTTCTCCAAATCCTTTCTGGGTAGTTTCAATCTGAATTGATGTCAAAATATTTGACTTCTTAAACACACTAAAGTTTGTATGAGGTGGAAGTACAAAATAGTTGATAGTTGGGAGGTAAAACGTTCTCTTAAACAGTAGAGAAACGTGAAGAGAATATCTCATATTTTAACTTTTTTTGGGGGGGTAGAGGGAATAAGTCAATTGAACACTAATCGAGTAAGAAATGTTGATGGGATCATCATTTTATACATCAGACTGACTTCCTGTGAAAATTTCTAAGTGCCTCTAAACAGGCCTCCACGGTTGTGAGAGCGGAGGAGGATCAGGCTAGTTAGATTAATAATCTCTCTACCCATTCACATTTTCTGATTCTTAACGGGATACTGCTTTCTTCAGGTCCAGGACGATTACATCTCTTCTGTTCTCTGGGAAGAACGCCTTCGATAGTAGGTTCTATTGTTCCATTCTGATTTCAGCAGCCTAGACCTTGGGACGTTTCTTCTTTGCTTTTGCTTCTCAAGGATAAACTCCCCTACTTATCCAGACCACATTCCAGATCTCTCGAAATTCCTCAGAAGACGATAAGAAAAATCCGGTGCTGAGAACTCTGCCTTCGAAAGAGAACATCGTGTTCTGCGTTGCCAATGTGGATAGAAAGGCCGGGGGTGGCTGGAGTGGGCAGGCCAAATGCCCGCTGAACTGCCCTCCTAAGATGTGGTCGTTTCCTTCCCGTTGCCTCGCAGCCAAGTAGCCTGGCCGGGACCTACTGGGTCGCCGGCGAGCACTGCCTGCCTATGTTCCTGACGACTACACGGGGCCACGTGGAACCCGCCTCTCCGCTGCAGTTGAAAACCAAAGTAACGTGCGGTCTTTACTCCAACGATTCGTGTTTTGTTTAACTGTTTTTTTTTCTTTTTTTTGGTATTCCCATTAGTAACACGTCAACCCAAGTGGGTTCTAAGGAACCGGCCGGCCGGGCCGTGGTGGAAACTTGAAAAGCCTTTTTAAAAACAGATTTCCGAGGCGGGACAGGCGGAGAGAAACGACTCTGTCGGCTATGCAGGGGTTATTCCAAGAACGCTAACGGTGGACTCGATTCTCTCCTTCTCTTTTAAGAGCAACAGACACGAGCCAAGACGCTGCCCCGTGGACACGCGCGAACGCCTCGGAGCTCGCAGTCCCAGGCGACTGCGGGGAGGAGGGAAACGCTGGCCTGAGATGACTCCGCATTTAAATTTCTGCCCGGAGTCCGCCGCCCCAGCGCGCCCGGTGCCCGGAGGGCGGGTCACGTGACCGTCCCCCTCCGCGACCCTCTCCCCACCCCCCTCCTCTCCCGAGCGAGCGTTCGCAGCGAGCCCGGGACCCTAGAGAGATCCCTTTTATCCCAACGCGCGCCGCTCCCAAGGCCAACTCCGCCAAACGCCTTAGGCTCTCCCCTCCCAACCCCCCCCCCCACCCCGGAGCGCCCGGGACTTCCGCCTGGCCCCGCCCGCCACGTGATCACGCGAGACTTGGGGTGGCGCTCAGGCCGGCCCGGCACGCCACTCGGGTCCCCTGGCTCCGCCCGCCCGGCACTCCGGCGGGCGCGTGACGAGAGCCCGCGGCGGCGGCCTCCGCACGCGGCTCTCGCGGTGTCTCGCGCTCGGCCCCGCCCACCTCTGCCCCCGCCCTTTCCGCCCCTCCCTCCCCCTCCGCCCTGTCTCTCGGCGGCGGCGACGGCAGCGGCGGCTCGCGCAGCTCTTTGGCTCACTATATAAAGGGGAGAAGCGGGCGGACCGGACGGCTGGAGCTGCAGCCGGTGGCGGCAGCGGCGGCGCGGGGCAGCGGCGTCCGGTGGCGGTTTCGCTCCTCGGCGCGGGGTGGGGAGCGGGCGACGCCCCCCCGGACCCCCTAAAGGGTCGTGGGATTTGTTTTTTTTTTTTTTTTAAAGGGCGATTCTCGAGGGTTTTAGGTCCGGGAGGACTTGCCCCCTCCTCCTCCTCCTCTTCCTCTCACCGCTCCCCTCTACTCCTTCAAGATCCGATTGTTTCCCTTTTTTTTTTTTACCCCCTTCAACCCCCCCTCCCCCCCATAATCCTGAGGTGGCCTGGGTCACCCTCCGGGTGCTTCGTTTATTTATTTTTTTTTGGTTTTGTTTTGAATCTTGTTTTCTCGGGGTTTGCCCCCCACTCCCCTCCCTCTCTTGGTTTGTGTTGTGTTGTGGAAATGGCGAACTCGGCAAATACAAACACCGTGGTAAGGACGTGGTTCGGCGGCCGGCGGGGGCTTCGTGCCGGCGGCAGCAACGGCCGGGCGGGGGCGGGGACGGCGCGGCTCCGGCCTCGGCGCTTGCCCCGGCTGCCCGCGCGCGCGCGCGCGCGCGCGGTCGCCGCCGCTTCCCGCCGCGGGCGGAGCGGGCCGGGGCGCCCGGCGGCGGTGGCAGCGGCGGCGGCGGCTGCGGCGGGCGCGGGGGGGGGGCGGCCGGGCGGGGGGCGGGGGTTGCCGGGGCCGGCGGGGCCGGGGGCCGCCGCGGGGCGGTTGGGTCGGGGCTGGCGCGCGCGGCCCCGGCTCCCCCGGCTCCCCGGGCTGCCGGCCGGCGGGAAGGGAGGACGGGCGGCAGGAGGGGAGACGCCGTCGCAGCCGCCGCCGCCGCCGCGACCCCCCGAAAGTGGTGGGCCCGGTGGCGCTGGCTCGAGCGAAGGACTCTCCCCTCCCGCCACCCCCTCCCCCAACACGAACCGCCTGGAAACCAACCAACCCCCAAAACAAAAAACAAAACAAAACAAAAACGGTGTCTGGGGAATTGGCTGCATCCCCCCCCCCACACCCACCCAGACCCACCGGGGGCCGCCGGAGTGGAGCGGAAGGCGGCGGGGCTCCCGGAGGGGTCCGTTGGCGGGTTTCTGGCGGTTGGTGCTTAAGGCATCTTCGACTGGGGCCATTTTATGTTTAAAGAGGAGAAGAAAAAAAAAAAAGGACGAAGGTTGAAAAGCACTTTTCTCGGTTCCTTTCCCAATCGGTAAAATGGCGAAGGGGAAGCAAATCTTGCCCCCACCCCACCCCCAACTCCCGCCCCCGACCCCAGCCGTCTCTTCCATTAGCAAAAGCACCAAAACAAACCCCCCCTCCCCAAAAAAAGCTTCCAGTGGTCACCGTGTGTTGCCCCCACCCCCGGCTTTTCGTCTTGAGGTTTGCCTACTCCCTCCTTTTTGCCCCCGTTTTTTTTTTTTGTTTTTGTTTTTTGCCTCCTTTTGGGGTTCCTCTTGACGATCACGTAGGTTTGCAAAAAGCAGTCACATAACCAGTGCGCTCACGAAAGTCCACCCCACTTTCGATCTCTTTTATTTGCCACCCGACCCGACCCGGGCTCGCCCGCGGCCCCGGCGCCGCCGGAGCACGGCCCGCGCGGCCGCCCGACCCCGTACCGTTGGCGACTCGGCTCGATCCATCATGGCTGCGGCCGCGTACCCGGCTTTTGAGTCCCTGAGCCTTGTGGTCCTCCTCCCTTTGGCTGCCCTGTTTATATAGAGCCATTGCCGCTCTCTAATATAGACTCTGCCAGGATGGGAAGGTGCTTTTCAGGCCTACGTCACCGCCTCTCCATTTAAACACCAGATCCGGCTTTAAATAGTGAGAGCTGCGGCGCGCGGGGCTGGGAGGTGCGTGCTCCCGAGGCGAGAGGCGGGCGCGTGCGGAGCTCCATTTATTATTGCTAGTTTTCTTTTTTTTTTTTAATATATTTTTTTTTCCTTCCTCCCCTCCCGCCACTGTAAATTCCCATCCGTCGAGGGCTCGGCGGCTCTCAGAATCCCAGTATTTGTTTAGATGCCGCAGCTGGGGTTTGCCATCTTTGTTAGGGGCAAAGTAGCCTTGCTGTTGCTGCTTGCTTTTTTTTTTTTTTTTAAATTCTTAGCATTTTTCTGCCCAGGCGCTCTTTAAGGTTTTGTGCTGGAAGGTGCATTGTCGGAGATGGAAAAAGGCTTTTCTGAACGTTTAGCTGCAGGGCAGTCGAGATTGCTGGTTGTTTTTGTTCTAGAGTTTTTTAGGAAATAGGTTAGACATGTAGTGGATACTAATATTTCAGTATGTTTTCCTATAATAGAAGCTTCCTTAAAAAAAAAAGCCGTTGGTAAATGCTTAAATTTTCAAAAGTCTGTTGATGCCCACTGTGCTTGCATGTATGTTGAATTGTGAGTAACTGGAAGAGGTAAAGTGTAAGCTGCATTTTTAAAAAGGGAAATTTCAAATTCCCTAGTGATGTTACTACATTAAATAATAATGACATGATATCCACCATAGATATTATTATTTCCACTATTGCTTCCACTTTTGAAAAGGAAACTTGTAATTAATCTTTAGACAACTTCTCCACTGGCCTCTGTAATTTACCAGTTTCGAACTTTGCAGTTTCTCTTTTTGTAAAGCAGGACAAACCTAAATTGTTTTGTTTTGTAAGAGGGAAAAATACTTGGCTCAAGTAAAGTTTAGCATTTCACTGTTTAGCGTTAAACAGTTTGTTTTTTATTCAAGGAAGTGTGCTTTTTTTTTTAATATCAGTATTTTGGTGGCTCTTCCATATACTTCTAAATTTTTCTTTAGGTGTACATTTTGTAAATGATGCTCATTTCCCTTTAGCAGTAGTGCTTATGCATTTACTAAATGGCATAGTTACGGGTTAACACAAAAAAGTTTTAGAGTAAGATTCCCTCATTAAATGGGGAATGTTAGGAGGAGCATTTTTATGCACATAAATGTCTGGATCTCTCCAAGCTTAAGATTTTTAGAGGTAGTTGACTTCAGAAAGCACCTAAGTAACATCTAGTATATGGAACAGATTGTATCTTTACTCTCACATTTTTACTACTTCTTTTTTTAGATAACACAGCCTTTTTGTAGTAACTTGAAGTGGGGAGGTCGAAATTAGTTTTAAAAATCCAGTTTCTGGTGTATTGTAATTCTATAGTTAAATTGCTCCTAGAGATTGCTTATAGATAAGGCCAGAGTTACAATCAGATAAGACTTTTCCTCATACAGAGAATGAAAGAATGTTGTCAAATAAGGCACGTTAGTGGCACACATCTTACACGTAAGTGTGCAACATGTATGAAACGACTTAAACACTTATGTATAAAATAAAGTTCAGAGGCAAAGATTTGATAGACAGGTGAGACACATGAACTGCTTTTTGGTTGCAGTAAAAAGGAACAAATAGTTTTTAATGGCTAAGGTAAATTGGAGGAGCTTATCTTTTGTATTTTTGACCAGGCAAGAACATGGTTTTTTTTGAAGGTATTGCTAGTAGAGATACCAATAAAAAAATGATTTTTGCTTAGATTTGCAAAATCTTGGTTTTTTTGGATAACCAGTAACTTTTACCTTAAGATATAAAAATATAAAACCCAACATATAAAACCCAAATAATGGCAAAACATTAAGAGAGAAAAGGGCTATTAACCTTAAATCTGATAGTAGTATTTATAACCTGGAGCTCTACTTTAATCATTTTGCCCTCAGACTTTATTTTCAAGCCCCCTTTTTTCAGCAATACTATGAACAACTATACTTATATAAAGGATACATACGTAAGCTGTTAATGGTTCTTTCACATCATCTGGACAGTAGGTGCATAGAGACTCTGGAAAGGAGATCTGTGTGTCTTACTGCTCTGGTACTTTTTTTTATTGTGGATATAAGAACATTTTTGATACATCTTAAAGCAGGCTAACAAAAGTAAGAAGTCAGGTGGTTTTTAATTGAATACTCCTTAGGTTGCCAGTTGCCAGTCATGTCAGGTTCAAGATTCATGGAAATAGAAGACTCAGTGACCAGGTTATGAGATTATATGATTGGGGGTCAAATCAAACCAGGAAGGGTAGGAAGGAAGCAGAGATAACAACCCATAAAGCTGCTATTAGAATACATCAGGTGTTTTACTATAGCACTGTCCTCCCATTGTTCATTGATTTGCTCGAGCGGGCACCAGTAATATCTCCATTGTGAGACTTCTTGTTATTGTTTTTGGCATATTGAATATGTCACAGGGAGCTTGTCAGGCTCTGTCGTGCGGACAGGATGCTCTCAGTAGCTTGCTGGGCTCTCCAAGCGGGACAGAAGAATCGAATCCGGGTCTGCGGTGTGCAAGGCAAAAGCCCTACCCGCTGTGCTATTGCTCCAGCCCTATAGCAGTATAGGAAATTATAACAAAACAGTATGGACCTTGTGTATGTGTTCATATACACATATATACATATAGATTTATGTATATGGATCTTTTTTGAACTGTGTAATTCTTAAAACTCAGTACTTAGTCATAAAATTCATTTTATTTTATTTATTTTTTAAAAATTTTATTGAATCACCGTGGATAGTTACAAGTTTTCATGTTTGGGTTACAATCACACAATAATCAAACACGCATCCCTCCACCAGTGCACATTCCCCACCACCAATATCCCTAGTATGCCTCCCCTTACCCACCCACCCTCTGCCTCCATGGCAGACATGATTCCCCATAATCTCTCTCTACTTTTGGGCATTATGGTTTGCAATACAGACTCTGAGAGGTTATCATGGTTGGTCCTTTATCCACCTTTAGCACACATAAAATTCATTTTAACTAAGGCTAATAATGTCTATTAGGACAACCATGCAGTTAAAGTTCTAGCTTCCAAAATAAGTTTTTGTTAGATGAAAAATGATTATTGTGCTTGTTTTGAGTTTGAGGAAATATATTGCAATATTTTGATTTGTGTAAAGATGATCTTTTAACGCGCTTTCATTTTTTTCTTTCAAAGCCTAAATTATACAGATCTGTGATTGAAGATGTCATTAATGATGTGAGAGATATATTTCTGGATGATGGAGTTGATGAGCAAGTTCTGATGGAACTAAAGACTGTGAGTATGCCTTGATAAAAAAAAACCTTTTTTAAAAAATTCTCTATAGCCTAGTGATTAACCAATAATTTTTCCATAGGATGAATAACGTAGTTATTTATAGTTTAGTGAAGGGCCCAAGTTTTAAATCCCAGCACTACTTAGGTATATTGCTTCTCACTTAGGCAAACTACTTTTATTTCAGTTCCTTACATGCGAGATAGTACTAAGTACACTTAGGATCTTGTGAGGATTAAGTATAATAACCATACAAAGAGCTTAGCACCATACTTAGCATCTATAACCTTAGCTATTAATGGATAGTAAGCATTCTGCATTTTATGGTCCAATTAGTTGACGTACTCTAAGGATATATATATTTTTTTCATGGCCTTAATGCACTTATATTTTAAAATGCCTGGAAATTGTTTTATTCTTAATAAAGAATTTCATGTTCTTGAATTTGTGTGGGCCAGATGTAATTTTATTCTGGGTGCTGGTTGTTTTTCTTTTGAACTTAAGTACTTTTTTATTTCTTTTAATTTTTTTAATATAATTTTTATTAGTGAAACACCAAGAGGTACAGTTGTAGACTTACAAACTTTCGTGCTTGAGTTTCAGTTATACAATGATTGAGTACCCATCCCTCCACCAGTGCCCATTCTCCACCACCAATGAACCCAGTAGCCTTCCCTCTCCCCCAGCCCGCCTCACCTCTGTGGCAGGGCATTCCCTTTTGCTTTCTCTTTCCTTTAGAGTGTTATGGTTTGCAACAGAGGTGTGGAGTGGCCAATGTGTTTGGTCTGTAGTGTGCTTTCAGCACGCATCTCCCATCTGTTTTAAAATTTTTTAATTTAAATTTTATTTTTATAAAGTTGGTCACAATAATTTATTGCATTTAATAGTCCAACACCCATCCTATCACCATTACACTTCCCCACCATATTTTGAATTTTTGCACACCCCCCCGCCCCGCCAAGCCTGCCTCCAAAGAGGAACGTAAATTACTTTATATTGCTTGTTATGAATAATCCGCTAAAAATGATCTAAAAAAGTTTCTTGAGAGGAAATTGTGTGAAGATTTTTGTATCTCACATGGAGCCATTAGCCCTTGTATAAGGGATTACTAGCATGTTGTTACAGGTTGAGCATTGTATGCATATATATATATATATTTATATATATATTTTAATCTTGATTAGTTGCCTTCTACTTTATCCCTCATCAAATGTGGCTACTCTTGGTACATCAGAGGTGTAGAGTATGAGATGTCACTTCAGGAGTTCTAAAATTTTAAATAGGGTGAAATAGTTAGGATTAATTTTTTAGCTGGATGGTGACTGGGGTCTGTAGGCATCTCTGCAGCTTGTTTGCTCTCTTCTGAAATTTATTTGTGAGTCTCTGGATCATGGCAGTGAATGAGCTAATAAGGAGCCAGAGGCAGTTCATGAGCATGACTGCCAGACTCCTGGAAGAACAGGGAGATGGGGAGAGGTTGCCCATTCCTGAATCTGTGTGAGCCTGGAGATTTAAGTCTTAAGTACGTTCTTTTGTTCATTTGGCTTTTCTTGTTATAATGACTCATGAAATTGTGAAGATTTTTTTTTTGACCTTACTGCATAATATTCAGAGGGTGGTACTCTTAATGGGTCTTTAGACTTCCGGCATTTCCTCATCTTTCTCAAGGGGTTTATGAGATTGGCCAAATCACAATGTTTTGTTGTATTCCTGTAAAAGTTTTGTTCCAGGAGAAGTGTTTCAGGTTACACCTCAAATTTGCAAATGCTTTTTCTTGTGACAGTTGTTTCATATGCAGCAAGAATGGAAATGATTTGTGCTAACTTCTTGTTTTGGTACACTGAATATTCGAAAGATAAGTACTTAGGATTAAAATGAAATTGGTTTTCTTATTAAGAAATGGCAGTTAGTTGATATCAGTAAAGAACTAGAGCATGAAATATCTGCATGACATCAGTAAACTTACATTTTCCAAATGAATACATGCCTCATGTTTGTAAAACTGCCTCAAAGTATTTAACGACTTTCAATCTAAGTTCTTTGTTTTGTGATTTTAGAGTCTAAATTTCAGTTAACTTTAAAGAAACCATTTAAAATGGTCTTTCTTTTTCCAACTATAACTGTAGGAAGACATTATATATTTCAATTGAAATAACGCAGTGAATGAAGATGTTGATCGAGAACCCACTTATTTTTAAGTAATTTTTTACTAATCTTTATTTGAAAATACATTTTATTTAGCATTCACTGTTTATATGCCATGGATGTGTTATTTTTGCTTATTGTTTTTTTGACTTAATAAACCTGGCGATGCTCAGGGTTTACTTCTGGCTCTGTGCTCAGGAAATACGGTGTTGCATAGGGGACTATATGGGATGCTGGGGTTCAGATCCCAGCAAGCAAGTACCCTACGTTTTGTACTATCGCTCTGGTCCTTGTGTTATTTTTAAATTTAATTGGCAGTAAACATTGAAAAAAATAAAAAGAATCTTAGGGAGATAGCTCAAAGGGCTTGGAGCATATGCTTTCCATGTGGGAGGTCCAGGTTACAGCTCTAGCAGCATAGGGATCCCCAGTGTCACTGAATGTGTCCCTATTAACACTCATCATGGCTAGACGCAAGCACTGTATTATGCTTGACTGCACACAAAATGCATGACCGGACCAAGTATTGTGTAGTGTGGCTGCCGCCGTCTCTAGGCACTGCTGGGGAGGTCATTATTTAAGAAGTTTCATAATTGCTGAATTAGAAATTGGATATTGAGTTCTGTTAGAGCAATGTACAAATAGGTAATCATAGTAAATGCTAAGGAGTATTTAAGGATCACCTTAAAATTCTTAAGGAGGAAGGAAAAGTATAATCAGTTTGAGTGAGATGAAAAAATACTTGTTTAAGAAAAATATAATAGTGAAGAGTAGTACCTAAAAATAAAAAAGAGAGAGTGCCAGTTCTGAGGCTTGACTTGGACGAGTAGCAGTATAAACTACTCTGATAGCTTAGGAAAATAAGTAAGAGGAGAATAAGTTTATTTTTAGTGCCCTAAGTTATGTGGAGGGAATGTTTGACAATTTATGTTAGACTCATAATGATCTTGTTCTCTGAACTTTTGTTGAAAATACACCATTTTTAGATGTAGAAAATCAATCCCAAAGATTTTAATGTACCCTTACAGCTGTACTAACCTGTTATCTCAGTTTGTTACTTTAGTTCTTAACAGACACTGGGGAATTGGTGTGATGTTGCTCTCAGAAGAATCAGGGCAGTTTTAACAAAAAGAAAAAACTAAACTATGTTTGAGACTAGAAAACTCCACCGTAATTTTTATTGTAGTCAATTTTATGTGCATATATGTGTTTTAGAGCGACTACATTGAGTTTTTGTGTTACCTTACTATTTATTTTTTAGTTAATTTTTTTTTTTTGGCGGGGGCACACCTAGATTATCAGTCCTAGCACTGTTGGGGGGATCATCTTTGGTGCCAGGGACCAAACTTTGGTTGACGGAGAGCAAGGCCTTACTTGATGTACCCTTGTCTCCACCTCGAATGTTTTTAATGATAAAAGTCTGACTTAAAAAGTTTTGAGTTCCAGGCCTGTAACTGCAATGCTTGTCATATGTAATTGGCATATGGCTGGAGCGATAGCACAGTGGTAGGGCGTTTGCCTTGCACGTAGCCAACATGGCCGACCCGAGTTCGATTCCTCTGCCCCTCTCGGAGAGCCCGGCAAGCTACCTGAGAGTATTCAATATGCCAAACACAGTAATAACAAAGTCTCCAATGGAGACGTTACTGGGCCCGCTCAAGCAAATCGACGATCAACGGGAGGGCCTTTACCTTTACCTTTTACCTATTTGGTAAATATTTAACTGAACTTGGTTAATAATAATAAATGTGACTCCAGAATCTAATAGACCAAAGTAGTTTGTTTTCTTAAAAATGTCTTAATAGGAGCATTTGCTGCCTGAACCCCGTGTGCTGCTTGCGCCCCCGTGGCCGAGCACATGTGGTGCCTGAGCACATGTGTCGCCTGCATCTCCCCTCTTGAGATGTGTACTTTTATGCCTTCCAATCTAATGCTGGCTTGTGTGTAGGGGCTCTCTCCACCCTTGGAGAAGCCCGCTCTCTTGAGGGTGTTACTCTGTTTCTCTTACTCTCCACTCCCTCCCACTTTCTCTCCCTCCTTCCCTTCAAAAAAACCCTCCAAATAAAATCTGTTCTACTTCCAGAAGAAAAAAAAAGTCAATAGTTTTTTCAGAGAAGGCATCTATGTATTGGATACTTTGCTCAGGAATTTTTTGTTCTGTGTAAGGAAGGATTTGGACCACAACTTGTGTTCAGGGTTTATTCCTGACTTTGTTACTCAGGGGGACTCCCTGACAGTACTCGGGGAACCCGGGGCACCCACCGTTTGTGGTGTCAGGGATTTGAATCAAGAGCTGCAGTTGCTACAGCTGCAAGAAAGGCCAGTGTCTTACCCCCTGTCCCCCTGTATTATTTTCTCTGGTAGGTTTTTTTTTTTTTTAAAAGAGTGTGGCATCTTCTATTCTGGCTTCTCCAATGGGCTAGGTCAGGGTTAAGGTACAAACATGGTGATAGAGCCAAATATCCGAACCAGAGTAAATAGCTCTGAAATCAAAAGACCCAAACTTTTAACTGTTGAATGTAGAAAGGTGCCTGTCAAGAGGGCAGGTCGGGTGGCGGGGGGGGTGAGGGTGGGAGAATGATAGGGAAGGGAACCTGTGAACATTGGTGAAGATAAATTGAGTGAATATTATATTGCAATATTATATGTCTAAAATCAAACTATGAATAAATTTGTATGTTGTGGTGTTTTAATTAAACAATGTTTTCTCAATTTACCATGTGTTGAAACCGTGATTCCCTTAGTGAATGATACTGTGCTTGTGCCTGCAACCCCACACCCCTTTGGGGAAGGGATTTGTACTGAGTGGGCTTTCTTTTTTTGGCCTTTTTTTCCCCCTCTCCCCCCTGAAGAGGGGACCATAATAAGCCAAGTAAGTTTGTGTACCTCTGCATTACATAACTTGGATAGGTTACTGAAACTGAATGCTGGTCTAATCCCCAGAGTTGCTGACCGAAGAAAGTTGGGGTTGGGGCCTAAGATTTTTTTATATCTGCCAAGTTCTAGGTGATACTGTTGCTTTTGTTCCTGGGATCACATTTTGAGGATCACTGCTCACTGATTCACTGCTCATTCATTCATTCAGGACAGATTTTCATTACAATGTAGGTTATGTGCGAAGGAGGATTTTTATCATGTATGTTCACTGTTCTCAGTGCCTCTAACAGTGTCTAGTATAACGGTATGTGCAAGTAATTATTTTTACAGTGTATTGATAGGAAGAGCTCAGTGAACTAGGTTAACTATTTTGCAGTGTAGGTAGGGAAAAAACATGCACCAAAGTCATTGTAGTTGGGATATATAGGAGCAGTGCCTCAGAAGGGAAATTCATAATATTGACAAAGAATTAGGATGAATTTTGACTTACAGGTACGTCATTGACTTTGGGAGGTATACCAAGGACATAGTACCACAAGTGTCTATTAATGTTTGCCATGGAACAGATAAAACAAGCTTTAAATTTAGAATATTTTGGTTTTAAAAATGGTCTTGTGTAGGACTAGTGGTGGTGTGAGTTAGTGCTAGAGTGCACGCATCTCTTATGAGGCTCTGGTTTGGTCCCCTGGTACAAGAAGAGAGCAGGCTTCTTTTTCTTGGAAATCGGGGGCTTATCTAGTATTGTTAAGATCCTAGGGACCATTCCTAGTGGACCCTTCACCTGATAGCGCTGCTGGACATGGTAGATGCTTGGGTTTACCAGTGCTTTCCTGCTATATAGTGCTATACTACACTAGGTGGCCACTAGGGCTATCCCTAGTTGTGCTTGAGGAAAAAAAAATAGGGGTGAGGCTTGAATTCACACCTGGCAGTGCTCAGGGGCTGTCCCTTGCTTTTTGGCCCATAAAAAACTGGGTTTGCTTGCTTTTGAAACAGGGAAACACATCTATAAAAAGTTTGGGTAAGGGTATACTCTTCCCTATGCTGGGTCGCCACAACGATAAACCAGATAAGAGTTGGTCTCTCAAAAAGCTGTACTTTGTTACCTTAGGAAGAATTTCAGTTGTTTTTTTAGTCAGGAATTTGAAGAGTGTTAGATTAATTTATCTGAGAATTCAGAAGTTGGCTAATTCAATGTCTCTCCTATTCTCCCTTTTGTAAATGAACATGCATGAAAAAGATAATTTGTGCACAAAATTAATATTAGAGGTCAGTAATTAGTAATAACTAGTTTTCTGACTTCCAGTATAATGCTCTATTTGAAATTAATACTGCCACCTCCATAATAACTAACATTTATTTCCATCTTTATGCTAAACTAATGTTTTACGTGGCTATTTTAATTCAACTCTAGATATTGTTACTATCTTTGTAAGAGGACAAGTCTAAATTGTAGGCCTCTGGGGTTTCTGGGAAATTTCTTTTAGTGTACTTTATCAGTAAACTTAGAGATAACGCTGTAATTGTTGATATTATGTATATTGAAAGCTAGAATGTTTAGAATGGCTGGAAGTAGCAGGAAATTATAAAACTCCTTGTGAATATGGTAAAGAGAACTTATTAAGGATCTGGTGAAAGCCTCATGTGAATTAGGCTCTAGTTTTCATTTGCCAGTCTAGAAATTATCAGCCAGTCTGCAATAAAGTTAGTTTGTGGCAATAATTTTTCAAAGTAGCAGCAGGAAATTTTGGTGGAATGACACTAGTTCATGGATTGACAATGGTTGAAACCTCTGAGTTAGGCAATATTCTAAGAACAGATCCCAGAGGAGACTGCAAAAGTACTTTGTATAAAAAAAAACTGAATTAAGAAATAAAAAGGCTAAACAAAAAATAGAAATGGCTAAGCAGAAAAAGATTGATCCCGAGGGAAAATTTAAAGAAGTGTGAAGGGTGACAGACAGTATCTAAAAAACATAAGGGCATTGTGGTTCTTTTTCCTTATGTAGATTAGAAAAAATGTACTTTTGCTTAGGAGGTGAGGGGGACACAACATACACACTTGTCTATCCTCAGGGATTTGGGGTGATTGACCGTATCTGGTGCTGGTGATCGAAAAGGGGCTGGTTGCATGCAAGACTAGCATCTAACCTCTCTTCCTTTACTTTGTACAAATATTTTTTAAGAATTTTTTTTTTAAAGAACCATGTAATCATGGTTTTGATGTTGAGTTTTAGCCATACAGTAGTTAAACACCAATCCCAACATTTAAGGAGTGCCTCTATAATTTCTTTATAGAGTGCCTCTATGGTTTCACACTGTTGTAGCCAAGAAAAAATGAATTTATGTTTGTATAAGTTTAGAAGCTAGAAAATAGTTAAGAAAAGATGTTCATCAAGAGATAACAGGTTCAGTTTTTTTTTTTAATTTTTATTAGTGAAACACCATGAGGTACAGTTGTAGACTTACAAACTTTTGTGCTTGGGTTTCAGTTATACAATGATCGCGTTCCCATCCCTCCACCAGTGCCCATTCTCTACCAGCAATGATCAATGATTCCAGTATTCCTACCACCCCTTCCTACCGTCCACCCCCCCAATCCCACCCCGCTTCTGGCAGGGCATTCCCTTTTGTTCTCTCCTTTTGGGTGCTGTGGTTTGCAAAAGAGGAATTGAGTGGCAATCATGTTCGGTCTATAGTCTACTTTCAGCATGCTTCTCCCATCTTGGGAGGATCCTCTCAACACCCTATATTTGGTGCTCCCTTCTATCTGAGCTGCCTTTACCCCTAGAGTGTGCGACTGGCCTCCAAGCCATGGAGTAAACCTTCTGGTTACTTATTTCGGCTATTCTTGGGTATTAGTCTCCTATTTTGTTACTTTATGTTCCCCAGATGAATGCAATCTTTCTATGTCTTCCCTCTCTTTCTGACTCATTTCGCTTAGCATGATACTTTCCATGTGGTACCACTTGTATGTAAATTTCTTGACTTCATCCTTTCTAACAGCTACATAGTACTCCATTGTGTAGAGGTACCAAAGTTTCTTTAACCAGTCATCTGTTCTTGGGCACTCAGGTTTTTTCCAGATTCTAGCTATTGTAAACAGTGCTCAATGAACAAACAAGTGCAGATGTCATTTCGACTATATTTTTTTGCCTCTCTGGGATATATTTCCAGGAGTTGTATTGCTGGGTCAAATGGGAGCTCAATTTCTAATTTTTTGAGAATCGTCCATACTGTTTTCCAAGAGGGCTGAACAGGTTTAATTTTTAATAAGTATAATTTTGTTTACTAAAATGTTTCATATGAAACTACTTGGCACTTAAAAATAGTAATAGAAGAATAGTGAAACAAAGATATAGAAAGGTTTGAAACATAGTTTTCATTTTGCATACACTTAGGAATTTGAGGGTTATTAATTTGTGATTGTATCTATTTTGAAAATGAGGGAATTTATAAATAGAGTTTTTCTTTAATGCGTGGTTATCTTCTGACTTGTACTTAAAAAATCCTTAACACTCTTTACCTTAGCTATGGGAAAATAAACTAATGCAGTCTAGAGCAGTGGATGGATTTCATTCAGAAGAACAGCAGCTTTTATTGCAAGTTCAGCAACAGCATCAACCCCAACAGCAGCAGCATCATCACCACCACCACCATCAACAAGGTCAACCACAGCAGACTGTACCTCAGCAAGCACAAACACAACAGGTCCTTATTCCTGCGTCACAGCAAGGTGAGACGGGTTGTTTCAGAAGTGAAATTTGGTACTTTGAAAATAGTCAGGTACTCTGGATATCTCTCCTTTTGGCTGAGGGTTTTGTGTGTATGTGACCATATTAGTTTATACAAAATACGAATTTATTGATAGCCCAACAATATATCCAGAGGTACTTTTTTTTTTTAAGAGGGCTATGTAGATTTCCTAAAATAATTCAGATCTATGAAAGTTTATTCATATACTTTAAAACTGATTTGTTTCTTCAAAGACAGTTTAGGTTTTTCTTTTTTTTTTATGTTTATTTTGGTTCCACACCTGGCAGCACTCAGGTAGTATTCTTGGCTTTATGTTGAGGGATCACTCTTTGAAGGACTTGGGGGGGGGGACCATAAATGGGTTGGCAGGGATTGAACCCTAGTCTGCTATATGCAAGGCAAATGCCCTTACCTGCTTACTCTGGCCATGTTGAGTTTAGTTTTTATAAATACTCTTAAACTCTAGAGGAGGAGGAGGAGGATTATGCTTTGACAATATAAAATTTTGTGTACTTTTGTAAATTGAAATTGAATTATATTTTTTTTTAATGGCGGGGATTAATACTAATTTATATTACTTTAAAGTTAAGAAATAGAGTGTTCTTAGACTGTGGCCATAGTGCTTTGTTTTCTGTGCCATTGTTGTTTTATTGCATTCTTAAATATGCCTTCTGAAGTACCTGTGATATCAGTATTTCAGAGTTGAGGAAAATGTGGGTCCTGGGAAAAAAATGTAAGCTTGATCCATTATATATAGTATTTTTTTTTTTCAATTGGAGAGGACAGTGAAGTGGCCCAGTTTCCTCATTTAGTTTTTTGGAGATTATATCTTTGATAGTGATGCGGAGTAGAAATATCTGGGCTATTATATTCTTTATTCAAAATACTGTGTGCCATTCTGTTTTAGTCCATACCATGGATCAGATGTTTTTATTCTTCTAACCTGCTTTGATGACTGTTCCTCCTATTGCCTAAAGTGCTGGCACTAGGATTTTAGGTCATCATAAATTAAAACATGATTTTCTTCACTCAGAGAATATTGAGATAATGGGTTTATCTTGTTTGTTCTCTGAAATTTGCGGAATCTAACACTCGATGTTCCTATGTAGCATTTCTATTTCTGATATGTATTTTTTTAAATGCTGTTAAAAGTAACATTCTGATAACTTTTTAGTTGGGAAAAAGAATTTTATACATTAAAATAATATAATATTCTTAATGGGTTAATACACATTTCAACAGTCAGTAAAATTGAATTAAATTTGAATTAGCAAGTCATGATTGTTGGGTTGTTAGGTGTATTTCTAATTCATTTTCCACAGTTCCTTAGTGTCCCTTGTTATTGTTGAAATCTTTAATGATTTTAGCTTTTCTAGTTGGTAGATATTGCCATAGCTGTTACTTACAGTAGAAATTAAAAACATTCAGGTGTCAATAGTTACATATATTTGAATGCAGAAAAATACAGAAAGCATGGTCAGATGTTTTCAAGTACTGTATGTACTATTTTGGAGATTTGTTTTGGTCCACACATGGTGGTGGTTAGGGTCTGCTCCTGGTTCTGCACTCGTGGATCACTCCTGGTAGTGCTTAGGGAACCAACCACATGTGGGGCTCAAACCCAGGTTGTCTGAATGCGAGGCAAGCACCTTACCCACTGTGCTACCTCCAGCCCAGCGTAATACCTTTTATAAAGGTGGGGGTATAGGGGTCAGTCCCCAGAGGTGCTCAGGTACTGAGGATTGCTCTCAGGGTCTCACATATGCTAAACATGTACTCTCCCACTTTACCTATCAGCTTGACCCTTTTTGTAGTATTTTTATCATTGTGAAGTAGCTTCTGATTTATTACTTGCACGTGTGCTTGTGTTTTTTTTTTTAATAGCTGCTGCACCACAAGTTATTGTTCCTGATTCTAAGCTCATACAGCATATGAATGCATCAAACATGGTAAGACTCAAAACAAGCTTTTCGCTTAGCTCTACTTATTCTAACCCAAACTGTGAGTATGCCTAGGTGTATTGTATTTTAACAGCTAGAAATTTATTCAAGACAGGCAAAATCACTCTTTCACTTTGTTGAAAATACTAAATTGAGCAGAAATCCAAGGTTTGATTCTTGATTCTTCTAAGGCTAATAAAGTCTGCAATTCCAGGCCTATTTGAAAATGCTGAAAGAATGTTACTAGTGGAAGTTACTTTATTTTCTTCTATTATGGGGGAACCTCCCCGAGGATAGTTGATTCAGAAGATCCATTAATTTGCAAAAGACCAGAAGTGCTAAGAAAAAAAAATTCAGTTTTTTAATAGATAAAACTGAGGGGCTGGGAAAAAACTGGGACTTGAGATAGTATAGCAGTTAGGGTGCATACCTAGTATGCTTCTGGATTCAACTCTTGCCACCTCAAGAGATATAAAGAAGGCACTTACTATGCACATGGCCAACCTGGGTTTGACCCCTGGCTCCTCCTCTGGTTTCCTGAGCTCAGATCCAGGAGTAAGCCAGGTGTGAACAACTGCCAGGTGCGAACAACAACAAATGAAAGAAATTTAGAGAAATAGAGAAAAAAATACGAGTGAATGGGCTTCTCCAGAGGGAAAACAACTACTAAGTACAAGATGGGAGCCAATTTCCAGAGTGGAGGGTGAATCTAGAATTTGCTATTTCTGAGGTATAATCACCGCTGAATTTGGTGTTTTCAATTTTTTTAACTTAGGATTTCCCATTAAATGTTAATTAACATAGCAGTAGTATGGAAGGAATCAGATCCTTATCTTTAACAATGTATGATTAGAGTAATACCTCCAAAAATTTCTCATAAATGGCTTTTTGGTTCTATTTAAAATACAGAGACTGTTAGTTTTGATTCACGCCAGACATTCCATTCTTAAATTAGTCAAAGATATTCTAGTGTTAGCATGAGATTTTTATTTTTTAGAGCTAGAATTTTTTTAACCAAAAAATAAAACTTAAATTTTTTTTGTTGAGTGATAAATATAGGCCTATATGGGCTGGAGCGATAGCTCAGTGGTAGGGCGTTCGCCTTACAAGCGGCCAACATGGTCGACCCGAGTTCGATTCCTCCGCCCCTCTCGGAGAGCCCGGCAAGCTACCGAGAGTATTCGATATGCCAGACACAGTAACAACAAAGTCTCCAATGGAGACGTTACTGGGCCCGCTCGAGCAAATCGACGATCAACGGGAGGGCCTTTACCTTTTACCTTTTATTCCAGGCCTATTTGTGATTAAAAAGTCAGATTGAAAGTAAGGCTCATCTCTCATAAATTACTTCCCTGTATATATACCAGTGACAGAACTGTAAGTTCTTTGTTAGAAGAAACTGCACTACTTGGTGAGGCCCACACTTGGTTACTCAGGACTAAATTTAGTCTCTGTGCCAAAGGGTCGTGGTAGTGTTTGGGAACTATATGCATTGCCTTGGATAGAACAGGGGTTGGCCACACCTTAATCCCTGTACTGCTCTCTCTGGCCTAAAATTGAAATTCTTGTATTAGAAGTAGTAGTGTCTCTGCTTCTAGTACAAGATACTGGAAAAATTCTTTGCATTAAAATCACATGATTTCATACCTATCGTTTCTTCCAAGATTTTTTATTATTCAAAAGTTCTGTTTTCCAGTCAAAGGCCATACATTTCTTTTCTACCCTGAAAACACAAGTCTCATTTTAGGATCTATATGTGCCATTTAGTTGAATGATTCTTAGTTGACATTTGATTTTGAAGAAATTCAAATGTTGTGGGAGAGAATTGGAGGGGGGCTTATTTTGAGGTGGAAATAGGGTTGGGCACACCTGGTAGTATTCATGGGCTTTGTGTCCAGAAGTGATCTCTGGAGTTGCTTGGGGACCATATGTGATTCCAAATCAGGATTGGCTACATGCAAGGCAAATGCCGCATGTTCTTTTATTATCTCCCTGGCCCAAGAATTTTGAGTTAGATTTGTGTCTAAAGAGAATGATTCAAAAATTAATGTTTAGGGGGCTGGAGAGATATTAACAGTGTGTAGAGCACTTGCCTTGCACATAGCCTACCCAGGGTTGGATTGTTGACATCCCATTTAGTCCTCTGAGCAATGTCAGCAGTGATTCCTAAGTGCAGAATCAGGAGTAACCCCTGAGCACTGCTGGGTGTGGCCTCTCCCACCACCCCCCAAAAAATAATGGGTTTGGGTCTCTTGCTGATTTACTGCATTTCTGTGGGTGAGAAGAGTGTGTGTGTTCAAACAGAACCTAGGTCAGACACAGTAAAATACATTAACATTTGTATTTCAGCATTTTTAAAACCATTGGTGACTGAGGTCAAACCTAGAACTTAATACACTCCCAACCTTATTTCAGTATATAGTTTAATTTTTCAGTGTTAGCTCTCTGTTACTTTACATGTTTAGAAACGTAATTAGTATTGGCGCTTTAGCAATAGTTTTTATTATTTAAGATCCTTATTAAGGTAATGTTTCATAACTGGTAAAAGTTTTGGGGGTTTTTGTCTATTATTTCAGTTCATAGTCATTAGACATAGTCCTTAATATTTTAGCCTTCAAAATGAAAATAATAATTGTATAATTTTGTAAGAATGTTGATGGTGTGATATATCAGATAGAGGCTGCTTGAATTTTTAGGCAGAAAAAAAATTTTATTTACCTAACTAGTTTTACAAGTTTTCTTTATGGAATTACTGCGCTCATGAATTATTTGTGTTAAGATATTCCATAAAGTTGTTTTTAGTAGATAATAGTAAAAGATGTTCTTATGATGTATCAGTCAATATTTACTAATGAAATCTTGAATGTATAGGGTGTGGATGTAGTTTGTGTCATATATGCGATAAAGAACTCTTACATCAGTTTACCAGTAGAGGGAGATCTACCAATCTTACAAAGTATGAATTATAGGCACTTAATATAGCTAGGTAGTCTATAGTAAATGTCAGTATGTTTCTTAAGCTTAAATTTATAGTTATAGTCTGTAGTTTTACTACAGACAAGATTTTAAAATATGTGAAATGCAAAATTTGCATTTCATAAAGAGCCTGCTGTTCAAGTAACTGAATTTCAGAAATATTGTATATTGTTAATGTATATAAGATTTCCTTCAAGCAGATTTCCTATTAACTGTAATCCATAACTTCTGTGGGACCCTAGGGTACTCTAAGGAGCCAGAGGGTGAAAATTGTGTGAATAGTGGGGGGGCCATGGTTTGAGATTGGTGGAGGCACAGAAGGGAGACAAAGTCAGAAAGGAGGGTGCCATCATAGGAAAAACACAGAGAAACCCTGCCTCTGAGCACCTTCTCCAGGGATAGAAACTGATTTTATTTACTGTACTTAATGGCTTCAAATAATTAGGTTGGACATTTAGGCCAGTAATAAAATTGAATTTATTCTTAGTGATTTATTGGTATTTAGTCTCATTCTTAGGACTTTTCATTTTAGTATGAAATGATAAATTTCAAATACTGTTACGAATAAGCCAGATAAACTGAGGTGCTGTTATACACATAACCTTTATTATTTTTCTTTTTTTTTTTACCAGAGTGCTGCTGCTACAGCTGCTACGTTGGCACTCCCTGCAGGTGTGACTCCTGTTCAACAAATATTAACAAATTCAGGTAATAAGGAATTATAGAGCATGTTTATATAACTCAAAATTGTGCTATCTAACCTTTGTTTTTATTGAAAGAATTTTTTTTTTTTACCAGTTTGCTTAGGTTACAACATGAATGAGAGAATCCAATTTTTTTTTCTCACTTAGTTTTTGTTTTGATTTGGTATTTTTGTATTCTGTTTGTGGTCAGAAGTTTTCCTGGCTTTTTGCTCAGGAGTGACCTTTGGCTATGCCTTGTGTCACCATGTGCAGAGAATTGAACCAGGGTCTGCTGCAGATAAGGCAGGTGTATTAACACCTGTATTATCTCTAGTCCTGTAAACTTCATCTTGGATAGACACATTTAACATGCTTAAGTTAGTCTTGGATCATTAGGATTAATTTATGGTGTCAAACTAAATTCTATGTTATCATAAAAATAAGGTAAAGGTAAAATAAGTTTATTCTGTTGTACATTAGATTGACAAATTTTACTCAAGATTTTTGGCATGTCAATATTTGAATTTCCAGTGCCTTGAAATATCTTTTATAATAAGTTTCTTGTTAATTTGTAAGGAACTTGGTAAAGGTTTATCTTGATATTACTAAGTAGATTTGTTCAAGATTTTGAGTCATCAAAAACATATTAAAGGGATTGCTTTCTGTTATATGACAGTGATTCAGCAGACTTAATGTTTTTAAGCAAATGGAATTAGTAGTGTGTGGCTTTGGTCAGGAGATTCATTTATGCTTTAATTTTTTTAAAGCTTTAAAACTGAGCAACCCCTGAAATGTCTGCTATTACTTACTGCTCTCTCATGACTCCTAACATGATAGTAAAGGTAATTTAAGTTTTTAATCAAAGCTCATTTGTCATTGAAACCTTAAAGAAGGCACTGGGGAGGTAGATTAGGAGTTAGTGCATATGCTTTGTATGCAGTCAACCCTAGTTGTTTCCCTGGCACCACAAGAAATGCCAGGTGCAGGTGGAAGGCTACTGAACACCACTGGTTAAGGCCCTTGGGACCACAGAGCACCATGCAGGTGGCGTGTATAATTCCAAACACTTGTAGGGCCTGAACAGTCGTGCATCCCTGGTTTCTTGCATCAAACCACCTCCCTGGTTGACTGAATATCAACCGTGGGGGAGGACTACTTGGGATGCCCTTTCCCTCCGAAATAGCTTACTGGAAAAAAGTTTCTTAAGGAATGATAAAGGAAAACATAACACCCATAGCAGTGTAATTCAATATGGAGAAGATAAGTTGGAGAAGATAAGGATTATAGTTTATTGTATATGCATCATATACAATATGATAAATAAAACTTTCAATAAAACTGTTAAGACAACTTGTAATTTCTAGGGGCTTTTGGTGCTTGACTTCCACTATGAATCAATTTGTTTTGATATGGTCACAGCTAAAACAGTAACTTGCAACATGCACTTTGCTTTAGGCCAGCTTCTTCAAGTGGTCAGAGCAGCCAATGGTGCCCAGTATATCTTTCAACCTCAGCAGTCAGTGGTTCTACAACAACAGGTTATACCACAAATGCAGCCTGGTGGAGTTCAAGCTCCTGTTATACAACAGGTAAATGAATCTTAAGTTATAAGAACTATATGGTCCCTCCTCTTATGAATTAGCCCCCATGTATGGATTATCTGGGTCATTCCATTATCTTTCCCATGACCTTTATACAAATTCTCAGTGTACTTCACAGTTTAATTTATATTTCAGTTTAAAACTAATTTTTTTCCCTTATCTCCCCGAACATGCTTTTCCTTCTACCACTCCCATGCAAACTAGTTACTTGGCGTTGATTGAGCAGGCATTTGCTGAGAGATTGAATGTCAAAGTTTTTGCAAAGAACAGGAAATTTAGGAGTGAACAAGCCATCATGAAACTAGATACCTATTTTCTTGTAGGGGTTATATGTACTTGTTCTTCTTACCGATTTAAGTAGTTGAAATTTCACGAAATCCTTCTAGCTCTTTAGTACCTTTATTTTTTTTTTTAACTTTCCTTGCAATTTTAACTTCTTTCCAGTTCCTTAATAAGTCAGAAAGTTTTTCCCACTTCAGAATCTTTTGTCATTTCTTTAATTCATGCTCATAATTTCTCACTCTAAATACTGGCCTCTTACTCGCTCTAATTTCCCTGCCATTATAGTCTTATGTCTTTTAACCTGACTACTACTCCTACGTATTCATGATTAGTTTTCTAAAAGTATTTTAATTTTTTCATAGCTTTGTAACTTGATGGGAAAAAGTTTGAACACCTTTGCATGGTGTGTGTGTGGTGGGGGGCAGAGAGGGAGGAGAGAAGATACTAAATTTTTAAATTTCTCATTATAACCTGTTTATTTTTTAGGTTTAATATTCACTTTATTGTAATTCTATATAGTATTGCTGCTAAAATTATTTTTTAACATGGTATTTTTTAAAAAATTTTTATTAGTGAAACACCATGAGGTACAATTGTAAGTAAAGGCCATGATACAATTGTAGACTTACATGGTACAATTGTAGACTTACAAATTTTTGTGCTTGGGTTTTAGTTATACAATGATCGAGTACCCATACCTCCACCAGTGCCCATTCTCCACCACCAGTGATCCCAGTATCCCTCCCACCCTCCCATCACCCCCATCCCACCCAGCCTCTGTGGCAGGGCATTCCCTTCTGTTCTCTCTCTCCTTTTGGGTGCTGTGGTTTGCAAAAGAGGCATTGAGTGGTAGTCATGACTCATTATAACCTATTTAGATCAGGCCTGCTCAAGCAAATCAATGAACAACGTGAGGACAGTGCTACAGTGCAACCTGTTTAGATAAAAGCTTTACAATTTTTGTGGTACCACAGAAAAATGAAAAACATGGTATTTCCTTGAGTAACGTAGTACTTTAAAATAATCTACAAAAGCACATAATATACTACTGTAATAATTCAGGCAAGATTAGAAGGAGTAATATCAACCAAGTCTACTCACAGCTTTCTAATTTTGTTCCTGCCATTACTTCTGGATATCACTTGATACTAATTTTCAATTTAGAAAGCAATCTTTGGCTTTCCCTCTAGCAACTTTCTGCACTATGTTTAACCTAATCAAGAAGATCATTGCTTGTCTCCTAAATTACAAACTGAAACCTGCTTTGAGATACTTTCTTAACTATGCTGAATAAATTTCAAGCTGAATTTATTATATGAAAACTCTTCTATGTTTTCATGACACCACTTTTTTTGTTACCTTCTTTGTTGTGCTACTAGTCTGTACATGTCTTAAGAGAAAAAACTTTGTATTCCTTGAATCTAACGGCAAGTAATTGACATTCAGTGCCTCTTAATATACAAGGCATTTTCTGCCTTTTTTTTTAATATTTTATTTTATTTATTTGTTTGTTTGCTTTTTGGGTCACACCCAGCGATGCACAGGGGTTACTCCTGGTTCATGCACTCAGGCATTACTCCTGGCTAGGCTTGGGGGACCACATGGGATGCTGGGAATCGAACCCCCGGGTCGGGCCACGTGCAAGGCAAACGTCCTACCCACTGAGCTATCACTCCAGCCCCCCATTCTCTGCTTTTTAAGTGGCTTCAGTAACATTGATAGATTTTTAAAAACTGCACGATGAAGTGAAATAATGGTAAGACAAAAGTAATTTTATCATATGCTAGATGATATTAAAACAAATGTTAAGTTCAGGGGCTGAAGAGATAGTACAGTGGGTAAAGCGCTTGTCTTGCACACAGCTGACCTGGTTTTGATCTCTGGCATCCTGTGTGGTCCCCCGAGGATCACCAGGAGTGATTTCCTGAGTGTAAAGCTATGAATCGTGTCCCCAAAATAAAAAAAAAAGAAGTGTTAAATTCACATAGAACATTATCTGATCACTGGAGCATCATAAAACTCAGTTTTTCTAATATTAAAAGCAGTGTTTATTTTCTTGCCCTGCTTATTCTGGTTCAGAAAGGGAGTGATTAAAGCTTAAAACTCCAGGAAACTAAGCCTGATTGTTCTCTTCCACCACATGATGTGCTTACACACCCATACTGAGATAGATAGGCCAGTGAGCCTCATGTGCACATCTTTTGGCTAGGAGTCCTAAAACCAAGAGTACCTGGGGGAAGTGAAGGGGGGGACCTGCAGAAACGGAGCGAATGTGCAAGTACCATATAGATAATGGCCCTGGCTGGAAATCATTTAGAAGAAAACTACGTTTGAATACCTGTATAGAAAGAACATTGTAGTAGACATAATATGTTAAAAGAGATTGTAGAGGGTAGACAAAATTTCAGAAATAATGTGATCTGGTAGTTCCATGGTTGCATGATAAAAATCATCTGATGAAGCATAAAATGAACAAGATAGAGTTCACATCAATGATACCCATATATTAAGAATGGTGCCTCCAGGAGGATTACTCCATAACTTAGAGGCCAGCCAGGTATCCTAGAGGAAAGGGCAGTTCAGATAGAGAAGGGAGCACCAAATAAAGTATGTTTGGAGGATCCTCCCAGGAGGGGAGATGCATGTCGAAAGTAGACTATGGACTGAACATGTTTGCCACTCAATGCCTCTTTTGCAGACCACAACACCCAAAAGGAAAGAGAGAACACAGGGGATTGCCCTGCCACAGAGACAGGGGGGATGGGGGGATGGGGGTGGGAGGGATATTATCCATGGTGGTGGAAAATGGGCACTGGTGGAGGGATGGGTATCTGATCATTGTATAATTGAAACCAAAGCACAAAAAATTGTAAATCTACAACTTTAAAAAAATAAAATAAAATGAAGGTAAAAAAAAATATGTTTTAGTTACTTCAGGTTATGGAAGGTTTTAAAAAAATAAAAACAGTGGGTCTAAAAAAAAAAAAAGAATGGTGCTTGTGTTTCCAGTTTCTGAAGCTACAGGGTGTTGTTGTTTGTAACCATTGTTAACATCCATTGTTCCAACAATAAATGACTAAAACCAGGAGAGATTCAGTGACTTCTCTTGCTAAATCTGTCTTTGAACTGGAATCCATACAGAGCTGTTGAGTATAGTGTTCAGTATGAAGGCAATATGGCCTAATAAAAATAGAACCAGAAAGTCTTAAGTTCAATTCTTGCCTTCTAAAATTTGCCTTTTAAATAGTTACAAGTTCCTAAAATTCTCCTTGCCTCCACCAAGTAAGTGGGAATAACAGAATTCTGGTCCAAGGGTACGGTGTATAAATAGAAGTGCTTGGTAAGTGAAACAGTGCCTTTAAAAGTTTTTTTTTTTCCTTTTGAAATTTGGTTAGGTGGAGAATCACTGGATTAGTACAGAAGTTAAACTATTTTTAGTGCTTTGATATGTTTTCACTGTATATGAAAGCATTTTTCAATCTTTTTTTACATCTCAATGTTGGTGGTTGGACCATTTTTGCTGATTCTTCAGCACTTAGACTAATTTTTGTGTACCAAGCAATGAAAACTGAACTGCCTGATCCTGAAAGTAGTTTCTAATATGTATTTCCTCCCCCCCCCCGTAGGTACTGGCCCCTCTTCCTGGAGGGATCTCACCACAGACAGGAGTTATCATCCAGCCTCAGCAAATCTTATTTACAGGAAATAAGACTCAGGTTATACCAACAACGGTGGCAGCACCTACACCAGCACAAGCACAGATAACTGCAACGGGCCAGCAGCAGCCACAGGCCCAGCCCGCTCAGCAGCAAACTCCATTAGTGTTACAAGTAGATGGAACTGGGGATACATCGTCTGAAGAAGATGAAGATGAGGAAGAAGACTATGATGATGATGAGGAGGAAGACAAAGAGAAAGATGGAGCTGAAGATGGGCAGGTAGAAGAAGTAAGTTTCTAGTCAAAGACTTGAAATGAGAAACTATTCAATCATTTCTTGGTGACAAACAGACAGATTTACCACTCCCTTCCCCCATTTTTCTTGGGCTGTTAGGGTGCTACACAATGTAAAATTTTAAATACAAAGTTAGATCTGACAGTACAGCTTTCAGATTGTATTTATCTTCCTCAAATACTGTTCCATTAGCTGGTAATAAATGTATACCAAATTAAGTTGTATTTATAAAAGTGGAGAAAATCTGCTTCTAAATACTTGGCTTATGCATTCATTATCTTTGTAGAAGCAGCTGGGTATGGTTTATATATATATATATATATATATATATATAGCTTCAGGAATTAAATAGAGATGGCAGTATTGGGGAGGAAATAGAAAACAGCTATTCAGCATTTTTTGTCCGTGTTCTACACCTGTTCTTTCGATACCTTTCTATTAATGTTTGTCTTTAGTTTAACACACCATCTTTATCATTTTTTAGTTAAATCCAGCATCATACGAATGTTTTTCTCACTGGTCCCAGTTATGCTCAGGATGATGTTTGTCCTGCTACAATTTTCATTGTTAATTGTAATCTTGTATGTTGTAGTACAGAATTGTTCTAAATTATATAAGCATTGTTTTTGTTAATAATTGTTTTAGTTGAATAGATAACAAAAAATATTTTTAAGATAGATCCTCTGGTGACCACATTTTACTTTCAGAATTTTATTCCTAAATTTCTCTGGGTACCTTTACCAGTGTTATCCTTTTCCTTCTGCCATCAGAATAACTGATGCTTAAATTTTTCTATGATTAGTCTTTATCTAGTGTCATATGCATTTATGTCCTTAAACAGTATATTGTATAGTGTTATTTTCCGGTTTATAACACAATGGAACAGTTATGTATTCTGCGATTTTTTTTTTTTTCTTCTCAAGTGTGGTATTCCTGAGGTTCATTCAAATTGTTGGATATGACTGTTTTCACTGTTGGATATAACATAGTTTATCAATTTTTTTGATATGCTGGATGTTACTATTTCTACTTGTTTATTGTTTTAAATGGTACTAAAATAATTCAGTGTGTGTCTTGGTACACATATGCTGCAAGAGTTCCTCTAAACATTGACTTGCTGGATCCTAAGGTATTCACATCTTCAACTTTACAATAAAATATCAAATTATACTGATTTCACTTCTGTCATTCAGTGCATAATTGGGCAGACATCTATTTCTTCACCAATACGTGGTATTGTTAGGCTTGTTAATTTTTATTAGTCTGGATGTCTTTGTTTTGGTTTTAATTTGTGTTTTCCTGATTACTGGTAAGTATGCCTCTCTGATTCAGATGCTTTTCTGTAGACAATAAAATCAAATGTGAAAAATGTCAGCTTTTCTTACCTTGTTGGCTAGTCTCTCCAGTACAATATTGATTAGAAATGCTAATGGAAAGTTACCGTAACTTTTTCTTAATTCTAAAAGGAATTCTTTTTATGATTCACAGTACTATTTACTGCAGGCTTTTTGTGAATGATTATAGTATTTAACACAGCAGGTAATTTCCTTTCCCCTCCGGTAGCACCATAGCACTGTCCTCCTGTTGTTCATCGATTGCTCAAGGGGGCACCAGTAACGTCTCCATTGTGAGACTTGTTATTGTTTTTGGCATATCGAATATGGCACGGGGAGCTTGTCAGGCTCTGCTGTGTGGGCGGGATACTCTCGGTAGCTTGTCGGGCTCTTTGAGATGGGCAGAGGAATTGAGCCCGGGTTGGCTGTGTGCAAGGCACTTTTAGTAGTAGCCTTGGGTGTTATTGGGAAAAGGGCTTTTATGTCCACCTGTTTTCTTAAAAAGAGATTTCTAGGGTGTGCCAAGTAATTTATTTTCAGAAAAGGAGATGGAGACTAAACAAATTTGGAAATCTGTTAAGCAAGTTTAAGGTTAAGAAAGTTTCCATATAGTCTCCTGAGCCCACAAGTAATAATCTCTGAGGACAGAGCCAGGATTACGTTCGGAGCGTAGCAGGTATGGCCCCAAACCAAAACCCAAAGTTTTTCTATCTGAGTTTGATGCTTAGCACCCTGTATGGTTCCCCAAGCCCTACCCAGAGTAATCGGAGAGCATAAAGCCAAGAGTAAGCCCTGAAAATGCATAGGTTATGGCCCCAAACCGCCCCCCCCCCAAAAAAAAACTGCAAAAAATGTTTTCTTGTATTATAAGTGAACATTGATTTATAAAAGAACATTAATTTTAACCTTGTTCTGTGGCTATTAAGATGATTCTTTAAACTATTTTGTTGAATTACCTTAGATTTTAGTTTGCAAACCAATCTTGTTTTGGTTTTTGGGTCACAACTGGCATTTCTCAGACTTAAGCCTGGTTCTGTCCAGGGATTGTTCCTGGCAGTACTTGGCAGTATTGAGGATCAAATAGGGTCAGTTGCATTCAAAAAAAGCACCTTACTCACTAAATTCTTTATTCAGTCCTTGTAAACCAATTTTGTTCATTGCATATTTTCACCGTTTTTATGAATTGCTGAATTAGCTTTGATCCAGACTTTCCTGTTCTTTGTATTCTTGCTAGGTTTTCAGGATTTTATAGTAACCTTAAAAAGCAAACTTTGTCAAGTGTTTTCCTCTAGCTTAGACTTTTTAAAAAAAAATTGTTTATTCTGTGAATATTTATTAAAACATGCTGCTAAAAATATGGATCTAAAAATCATACTCTGATCAAGTCTTGAGTCTTTTGAGGCAGTGAGGCTAACTTTTTTCAAAGACTATTTATCAAAAATCTCTAGTTTAACATTTTTAATGAGTTTATTTTTCCACCCCAGAACCATTTGGAAAACAATGATGTATTTGCCTATTTTATTTGTTATTGTCTTGAATGGTCTGATTTGTAAGAGAGTATAACCTATTTGATCTATGCACCCTTTTACAATGTGTTCAACCGCTTTATCTGATCACTGTTTGCATATTCAGTATATTTGAAAAGAATATGTTGGAAATGTATTCTGTATCAGGCAGTTAGACTTATGAATGAATTTTCTTTGGATATTTTATGTCCTTTTGACAATTTTTTATATGCTCACTCCAGTTGGTGAGATATGCTCAAATATCCTTTGATGCTGTTTATTTTGCTTTCTACTTTTTAAATATTTGAGCCTAAAATGTGTCCATGCAAACTTGAAATGAAGTTGTCCTAGTGCAGTGAATCAGTTATAATTATATCATCCTTCTTTATTTCCAGTAGTTTTTTTCCTTTTCTTTTTCTTTTGTCAATTACCTCCCTGTCTGGGGCCCACTATTTCATTTTATGTGATACCAAGAATCAACCTAATTTGACTTTGTTTGGAATTTGCCTGGTATGACTTTTATTCTTAAGTTTTCAAATTATTTAATACTAGAAAAATTTTACATGGACCAAGACTGCTCCGTATGGAAATAGTATTTTTTTCAACAAATAGTGATGAACTATGAATGTGCACATACAAAAAAAAGTGAAATTGAACTCTTAACCATATACAGAACTTGAATTTAATCAAAAACCTGAACTTAGAAGTTTAACTGTCTTAGAAGCAGTTTCACAAAATTGGATTTCACAATGGTTTCATAGATAATAATAATAAAAGTGTAAACAGTCATAGAAATAGTTGACAATAGGTTAAATACTTGTGTGTCAGGATAAAAGTGTGAAAACAAAATATAAACATGATACCTGATTGCAGATTAATGTGGTGAACTCTTAAATGACACCTCTTACGAGGATAGACAAATAGTCAAAAAGAGCACGTGAAAAGATGCTTAACGTCATTGTTTATTAGGGAAAGGCAAGCAAAACCACAATGAGATATAATTTTACATATACTAGAATGATTTTGATATTTTCAAAAAGAAAACGTGTGGATGTGGAGAAATAGATGTTCTTACTGTGTGTTGATCCTGTGATATGAAATATTTCTCTGGAAAATTATGTTCTTAAAAATACGATCAACAATTCAAATATTAAGTATGATAATTGGAAATGGGTATTCAAGCAAAAACTTGAACGTATGTGTTCATTGCAGCCCTATTCACTAAACTTAAAAGCAATCCCATTTCTTATCAGTTGAATAAAATGGGATATATTCATACAGTAGAAAGTTACTTCATGACAAGGAGCAAACTACTGCTATATGCTGTAACAGGGATGAATTTCAAATATCTAAAGAAGGCAAACCACATAATTATACGAGTATGTCCTTTGAAATACTCAGAATGGGCAAATCTTCAGAGCTTGAAAGCAGGATAATGGTGGTCAGGGAGAAGGGTTTATGGGGAGTGGCTGCTTTAAAAGGTGAAATTATTTTGGAATTAGTTCAGGGCTGGAGTGATAGCACAGCGGTAGGGCGTTCCCCTTACAAGCGGCCAACATGGCTGACCCGAGTTCGATTCCTCCGCCCCTCTCGGAGAGCCCGGCAAGCTACCGAGAGTATCTCACCCGCACGGCAGGGCCTGGCAAGCCCCCCGTGACATATTCGATATGCCAGACACAGTAACAACAAAGTCTCCAATGGAGACGTTACAGGGCCCGCTCGAGCAAATCGATGATCAACGGGAGTGCCTTTACTTTTACTTTTAGTGCAATGGTTAGACACATTATGGATACAGTAAGTGGGAATGAATTATAAGTTTAAAGTGGTGAGTATTTGAATTTCACCTCAATATATTAAAAGTTTTACATGGTATTTCAAGATGAAATATTTTTGCGTGTAAATATACATATATAGATATGACATGTAGGTTTATCTAAGTATATGCTCAGACTTAATACTACAATAATTTTACTCAACTTTTACTAAAATTTACTCTCAGCTTTTACTTTGTTCTTTGAGGTCTTATTTAACAATGTTACTTTATAGATTGCTAGTTTTTAATATTTTTATATCTATTTGCCAAAGATGGACGATAACAAGTTAGATCATGGCCTTTTGGTACTAAGATGGAAGTTTCCTCTTATTTCTAATTGAATTATCTTAATTATAATAAACCATTTCCATCAAAGTGGCATATTCTGAGTTTTATTCTTTATTTACAAATTGCTAGCTCATTTGTGACCCTTTTCTCTCCAATTTCACCACTGTTTTCCCTTTTCTGCTTTGTCTTTGTTCATAGTACTATTTACTCTGTTTTTTAAATTTTCATAGCTCTGTAGTTCTTCTTACAGGCATTAAAAAGTTGAAAGAGGGGCTGGAGTGACGGTACAGTGGGTAGGGTGTTGTTTGCCTTGCATGTAGCTGATCCAGCTTTGATACCTGGCACTGTATATGGTCTCCTAAACCCACCAGGAGTGATCTTGAGCAGAGTCAGGAGTAAGCCCTGAGCACTGCTGGGTGTAGGCCCAAAACAGAACAACAAAAAGTTGAAAGAATTATCTTGTGCTTTTTTTTTCTTTTTGGGTCACAACCACGGATGCTCAGGGGTTTCTCTTGGCTCTGCACTCAGGAATTACTCCTCGCGGTGCTTGGGGGACCATATGGGATGTCGGGGATTGAACTTGGGTCAGCTGCGTGCCCTACCCGCTGTGTTATCGCTCCAGCCCTCTTGTGTTATTTTTTAATGAAGGAAATAAACATTTTTTTATACTTGCAAATTATGTAACTTAGTTTTGTTTATTGCTGAAATTTCAGTGATACTGGTTAAAACCTCGTTGTATATGTATGCATCTGGCAGCACTCAGAAAACAGCCAGTTTGTGTTTCTTCTCAACTAGTAGAAGGGTCTTTTTCCAATAACATGAAATACAAACAAAACATTTTTTCTTTTAAAGGAGCCCCTTAATAGTGAAGATGATGTGAGTGATGAAGAAGGACAAGAGCTGTTTGATACAGAAAATGTTGTAGTGTGCCAATATGATAAGGTAAGGATTTTTTCACATTGCTAGCATTTTTATTGTAATTTATTACCTTTTCTGCCTTGTTTTAGGCATTTGTGCAGCTTGTTAAGAATAAACACTGTAGGGGCTGGAGAGAGAGCACAGTGGGTAGGGCATTTGCCTTGCATGCAGCTAATCCGGGTTCGATTCCCAGCATCCCATATGGTCCCCCGAGCACCATCAGGAGTAATTCCTGAGTGCAGAGCCAGGAGTCACCCTGTGCATGGCTGGGTGGGTGTGACCCAAAAAGCAAAAAAAAAAAAATAATAATAAAATAAAAAAATAAACACTGTAATTGAAAGAATTCTTAGTCTAGTAGATCATTTTAATAGAATGGAAAAGTATTTTGTCATTTTACATTCGAAAAATAAGTTATAAGTGAAATAATGAAAAGAAATGTATGTTTTTTTCAATGTAGACTCACTGATATCTTTCAGTTTGTTTAATAAAAGTTAATAAAGTCCCTTCAGGTTTATTCTTTACTATCAGCAGTAATCCAGTGGGATATTCTGTTTTCTTTTTAGCTTCCACTTTCTGAAAACTTAAAGATTTTGATTTAGTCTTCATAATTGTTATTGTTAAGAAGAGAACAAGGGCAGTAAGTAGAACGTAGGTTCTTACAGAAAATCCTAAAAAGTTAGTTAGCTCTACTATATTCTTGGTAGCATTAAGGAACTTTGAAATTCTGTGAGAATTAGCTATCGATTCCTTGTTTCCTTGACTTTTAAAAAGTGATTCTTCAAGGCCAGAGAGATGGTAATACAAGTGAAGACATTTGCCTTAGATGTGGCAGACCCAGATTTGGTCCCTGGAAACCCATCTAGTCCCCTGATCCTCAAGAGTAATCCCTGAGTTTTTGGAATGCAGTAATTTTTAACAGGTTTATATATTGTATTTATAATTCAATGTTTTAGGCTCAGCAGAGGACTTAATAGTAAATTCTCTAACAGAAGCAGTTAGGTTTATTATAAATACTGCATTTATTTGTTGAGTGAATATTTACTAAGTGTCTGACTGGACTAGATTATGTAGAATATGTGTTCTGCAAGAATTTTCTATACAAGTGGTTAAAATTTCAAATTAATGTTACTTTTATAGAAATGAATGTTATAGGTATTCTTGTTTATTGCAAATAGATCTATAGGGAAACATGTGACAATTCGTCTTACCAATTGCAAAGTGATAGCACAGTGGGTAGGGCGTCTGCCTTGCACGCAGCCAACATGGCCGACCCGAGTTCGATTCCTCCGCCCCTCTCGGAGAGCCCGGCAAGCTACCGAGAGTATTCAATATGCCAGACACAGTAACAACAAAGTCTCCAATGGAGACGTTACTGGGCCCGCTCGAGCAAATCGACGATCAACGGGAGGGCCTTTACCTTACCTTACCTAATTGCAAAGTGAAACCAGTAATAGACACCAATGATGAATGATATGACTGAGAATTATCAGAGCATACATTTCTATAAATTAGGACTTTAGGACGAGTGTTCCTAGTACCCTACACTAGGCACATTATAATGTAATTTCTAACTAATATTCTTTAGATTATCAAGGCTAGAACATGAAACGCCAGTATTTTGTCAGGAAGTTTAAGTGATCTTCTTGCAGCTGATTTATCCAGAACACAATTTTATGATAGCAGAATGTCAGACTTACTAGATAATAGATGACATTTACTGAATTTGACAAAAGACTTTGCTCGAATTTTTATTATATTTTTCTTTGATAGCACAGTGATAGGGTGTTTGCCTTGTACACAGCCAGCCTTGCCGAGCCAGGTTCGATTCCTCCACCCTTCTCGGAGAGCCCGGCAAGCTACCGAGAGTATCTTCGCCTGCACGGCAAAATCTGGCAAGCTACCTGTGACGTATTCAGTATGCCAAACACAGTAACAAGTCTCAAAATGGAGACGATACTGGGCCTGCTTGAGCAAATCGATGAACAATTGTTTCTTTGATACATATAGTAATTGAAAGTGTTAAGTTTAAAGTGTCTTTTTTTGCTCCCAGGCATTTTAATATTTCAAATTAAAAATAGTTTTAAATAGTGTTGAATGATAAAAGATTTTGTAAAGTGAGAGCTAGTATTTAGAATGAAATCTTGGGATTGAAGGGGCTGAAGTAAAAGTACAGCAGGTAGGGCATTTGCCTTGTACACATATGACCCAAATTCCATCCCTGGCATCCCATATGGTCCTCCATGCATCACCAGACGTAATTCCTGAGTGCAGAGCCAGGAGTAACCCCTAAGAATCAACAGGTGTGATTCAAATAAGCCAACACACACCCCCACAAAAAAAACCAAAAATCCAAAAAACTTTACTGGAGAAGTGGGAGTTTAGTATTCTAGTCAATAAAATAAGAAAGAACTGTTGAGATATGGTATTGGCCTGCTTATATTTTGAGGGGTTTTTTTTGCAGTCTATAATCTTCAGAAATGCAAGACTGAATCAGAATTCGTGGAATAATGACATTTGTGTTCACGATCACCCTGTTGTTCGTCGATTGCCTTGAGCAGGCACCAGTAACGTCTCCTTCTTCCTAGCTCTGAGATTTTAAAAGAGCCATTACAGTGCTCTTTCAGGGTTAGGAGAATGAGACCTATCATTGTTACTGGTATTTGGCATATTGAGTACGACACGGGAAGTTTCCCACGCTCTGCCATGCGGGCAGGATACTTTTGGTAGCCTCAGATGTTGTGTTACCAGTCAAATTACTAAGTGCGATGAGTTAAATATAGAAAGGCAGATTTCATTCTTAAATAGTTAGATTAGGACTGCATACTTACAGGTGATTTTACTTAATGTTTGTCATTAGGAAGTTTAAGAGAACTTATCCAGAACTCTGCTTTATAAGAGGTTTTTTTTTTTTTTGTTAGAGGTTATTGGGTTTCAGGCATTGTTGAAGTAGGCCCCCCCTTTTTTTTATTAATTGAATCATCGTGAGATAGAGCATTACAAAACTGTTCATTATGAGTAAGGCTAATAAATGAATTATATTTTAGGTTTACTCTGTGATTAAATAGGTTCTACTTTGTGATAAAAATATTTAAATAGGGTATTTATGTTATGTATGGCTCTTGTGAAGATAATGTTTAAAGACTAGTTCTATGATTAGTGACAGAACCTGCCATATGTGTATGTCTAGCTGCAGGCATGACTGGACTGGTGTGATGGTAGCGAGGTGTATAGTACCTTAAGTTACAGAAACAAGGGGGGACAGTTGGAGGGGTTGATCCAGGGATGCTCCCAAGCAGTCTAGGATCTGGAAGTCAATCTTGGTGGTACCTAGCCAACCTGGTCATGGATCACGGGAGGTACCTTAACCCTGAATTCGCTTCCTGACCGTTGGTCATGGTTCAGTGCAATGACCTGAAGATGTGCTACTCAGGCCTTTTAGTTGGGACCTTTTAGTATGGTCCAGGACCATAGTTGGGTTGGTCTTTGGTAATCCTGGGTCAGCGTAACCCCTCTTGGCCCAGGCTTTATGGGATGCTGGGATTAAGTCTGAGTTGCCTGCTTGAGTGCACAGTACAGCACACCTACCCATTTACTATTTCTCCTGTCCAAGACTGGATTTGATTGCTGGCACCACATGATTTCCTTAGGATACTTGGGAGCATCTCCCAAAACCATCACCCCTCCCTCATCCCCGAAAGACCTTAAGATGAATGAAAGTGTAAATAAAACATACTAAAATTTACAGGATACGGTCTACTAAGAACAACTGTATGCCTGCAAATTGAACTACCTAGATAAAATACTTAAATTCTTTTTTTTTTTTGCTTTTTGGGTTCACACCCAGCGTTGCTCAAGGGTTACTCCTGGCTTTGCACTCAGGAATTACTCCCGGCAGTGCTCAGGGGACCGTATGTTATGCTGGGAATTGAACCCGGCTCCGCCGCATGCAAGGCAAATGCCCTACCCACCGTGCTATTGTTCCAGCCCCCAAAATAGTTAAATTCTTAGCAACAAACTGTTACCAAAATGAAATTTTAAAAAGTAGAAAACATGAACAGACTAATAGTACAGAGATCAGATCAAGTAATGACCTAATAAGTCCACAGTGAGTTGGCAGCATCAGTGAATTCTACCAGGCATTTAAAGAGGAATTTATCTAATTTCTTCTCAAATTCTCCCAAAACATAAAAGGGGGAGAGAACTCTTCCATTATCATCTTTAGGGATTAATACAGTACCCTCATGTCAAAACTAGACAAGGGATTTCAGAAGAAAACTATAGGCTTATTTCCCTGATGAATTTGTCACTGTCACTGTCCTCACGTTGTTCATTGATTTGCTCAAGTGGGCCCAGTAACGTCTCCGTTGTGACACTTGTTGCTGTGTTTGGCATATCGAATATATCACGGGTAGCTTGCCAGGCTTTGCCCTGTGAAGAGCCACTTATAATAACTTAACAAAGTAGATATGGAGAGAATGTTTCAGCGTATCATAAAACAAAACAAATACTACATTAAAAAATACCCACAGCTAATATAATCAACAGTAAAAATGTAAAAAAGTCTTTACTTTAAGATCAGATACCACTTTTTTTCCAGCATGATATGGGAAATCCTAGCCAGAAAAATTAGGCTATAAAATTAAATAAAAAGACATTCAAATGGAAAGGAATAAGTAAAAATAATTTCAGCTGACTTACTATATAAAGAAAACTCTAAAATACTCCTACTCTCCCTCCATGGCGCTAGAAGATAGTACAGCAGGTAGGGCACTTGCCTTGTTTGTATGTAGTCTACCTGGGTTCGATCGCCAGCACCCCACATGGATTTCTGAGCCCCATCAAGAGTGATCCCTGGGTACAGAGCCAGGAATAAACCTTGACCACAGCTGGGTGTTGCTCAACCCCTCTTCCCCAAATAAATTTACCCCCAGAAAATCTGTTAAGATTTAAATAGTTTTATAGTAATCAGTTGCACTTCTATACCTTAATAATGGACTATCAGAGATACATGAAAAAGGCAGACCCAAGTGTAATTGCATCAAAAAGAATAAAATATCTAGGAATAAATTTAACCACGGGTATTAAAGTTCCCCCGTGCCTGGCTGTCCTCACCGGGGCCCCTTGGAGGAGGGCGGATTGACTTTCCCTCTCCGCCCTGAGTAGAGCCCCAACAGCTGAAGACCTCCGGGACCCAGCCAAAGCCATGCTGAGACCACTCTCCACACGCTTGGACGAGGAACCGGTAGAGGAACCCAGGTGTGCGGGATCTGGGGCTGAGATCTCCAAGCCTACTCGGTTCGGGACTGGGCCTCATCCACCCAGATCCCCCACCTTCCAGTAGCTAGACAGTTACACCCACCAACTGCCGTGTAACCCCATCAACAGCCAGGATCCAGAGACTCTAAAACCAAGCTCCCAGAAGAATAAGACCTCTTATTATTTACTTCTCACTCTCAGAGAACCCAGCAGGCTACTGAGAGTATCATACCCGCCTGTATGCCTGACTAGGAACACCTGTAAAGGTGATTAGAGGTTGCCCCAAAAGCTTTCATCCCTCTTGGAGAGCCCGGCAAGCTACCGAGAGTATCCCGCCCGCACGGCAGAGCCTGTCAAACTAACCGTGGCATATTCGATATGTCAAAAACAGTAACTATGAACGGTCCTCATTCCCCTGATCCTGAATGAGCCCCCAATATGTCATCGGGCTACACTAGCACATGAGGGACAAATGGAGACGTTACTGGGCCCGCTCGACCAAATCGATGAACAACAGGGTGATAGTGAAAGTGATTAAAGGTCCTCTTAAAAATCATAGAACACAGACAAAAGCATATGTAGGTGGAAAAATACTCTGTTCTTTGGATTAGAATATTTAATATTAAAATGTTCATACTAAACATTGATTACCTAAAGTAACTATAGATTCAGTGTAACTTTTTGAATGGAATTTTTCACAGAAATAGAACAATACCAAAGATTTGGGTCAAACTACAAAAAACTTTGAATAGCTGAAACAATCTTGAGAGAGAACAATTCTGGTATCAATTATATAATTATAACACCATCAACACTGAATGGTGTTAGTATAACCCAAGCATAGAGCAATGTGATAGAGTAGCCCATAAATAAACCTGTATATATCATTTTATGGCAAAGGAGCCAGAACTATCCAATGGGGGAAAGAAGAGGTTTTTGTTTTTGTTTTTAAGTAAATAGTACAAGAGAAACTGGCAGCCATGCGGAAAAGAATGAAACTGCCTGATAAACCCAAAATTCTCTCAACAGTTGAATATAGCCCCAAAACTATCAGACTCTTAGGGAAAAAGCGTGGATTGTATGCTCTTTGGCCTTAGCCAGGAGCTTATGGTTTGACGCAGAGACATTGCAAGTGGGGATTACATCAGATAATTCTGCACAGCAAAGGAAACCATTAAATTGAAAGGGCAGGGGCTGGAGCAATAGTGCAGTGGATAGGGGACTTGCTTTTCACACTGCCAACATGCGTCTGATCCTCAGCATCCCCTATGGTCCCTTGAGCACCGCTAGAAGCAATTCCTGAGTGGAGAGTCAGGAGGTAACCACTGAGCCTCGACAGGTGTGATGTAACCCAGAAGCCAATAAAAAGAAAAAAAGCAAAAGGGCAACTTACAGAATAGAGAAATTGGCTAATCAGATAGCTGATGAGTTAATTTCCGAAATATATAAAGAATTGTGCAACCTGATAGCAAAATAAAGCCAAAAAATAATCAGGTTAAAGTGATAGCTTTTTAAAAGAATTGACATGCTTGCTTTGGATTTGCAAATTCTGGTTTTGTCCCTGTCACTGTATGATCCCCGAGTGTTACCTAAGAGTAACTCCTGCAGTGGAAGTAGGAGTAGCCACTGAGCATTTACCAGGTGGCTTCTAAAATGAAGCACCACCAACAATTTCAAAGGAACATGAAAAGGTACTAGACATCAAAAATCAGAAATGCAAGTCAAAATTACAATGAGAGATCATATTTGTTAGACTGATTTTTCAAAAAGACTAAAAATGTCAAGGATGTAGAGAAAAGGAATCTGTTGTGCATTGTTAGTAGTAATTAAAACTGGTACAGTCACTGTGAAAAGTGGTTTTCACATTCTCAAAAATTGCATGTAAAAGCAAAGAAGATAAAAGTACAAGGACATGCCACCTCCACATTCTTTACGGCATTATTTACTCAATACTAAAGCAATTTATATTGATGAATGACTAATAAAAATATGAATGTGTATATGCATACATTATAGCCATTCCTCTTGACATTCGTAGTTGAATCTATATTTAATCTCTGGACTCTAGGCAAAAATTTAAGCTTGTAGAAAGGGGAAAAGATTGGTTGCCAAGGGTTGTTAGTAGGCACCACTGTGATGGTGAAATGAGTGAAAATAGCCAAAAAATAGAGATTTCTAGTTATGAAGTATAGGGCGAATATTGCTAATACAGTTTGATGATTGTCACTGTCCTCCGGTTGCTCATCTATGCACAAGCGGGCCCAGTAATGTCTCCATTTTGAGACTTGTATTACTGTGTTTGGCATATTGAATACATCACGGGGACCTTGCCAGGCTTTGCTGTGTGGGCAAGATACTCTTGATAGCTTGCCGGGCTCTCCGAGAGGGGCGGAGGAATCGAACCTGGCTTGGCCGGGCTGGCTGTGTGCAAGGCAAACGCCCTACCACTGTGCTATCGCTCCAGCCCTTGATGACTGTAGTGAATAATATTGTGTATTTGCATGTCGCTTAAAAGACTAGCTGGTTGTGATAATAGAAGCTTCTAGTTATAAAGTATCACAATCACAACCACGACCATCCTGTTGTTCGTCGATTGCCTCGAGCAGGCCCCAGTAACGTCGCCTTCGTCCTAGCCCTGAGATTTTTTAAAAAAGTGCCATATTCAAGGCTCTTTCAGGGTTAGGACAATGAGACCCATCATCGTTACTGGTATTTGGCATATTGGGTACGCCACGGGGAGTTTGCCAGACTCTGCCGTGTGGGCAGGTTACATTCGGTAGCCTGCCAGTTTGTCCAAAGTAGAAATGAGATAATAAGATGTCCGGGAGCTGGGTTTTATAGTCTCTGGGTCTTGGCCGTTGATGGGATTACACGGTGCCGGGGGCAGTTGGTGGGTGTGACCCCTGCCTACTGGAAGATGGAGGATCTGGGTGGAGGATGCTCAACCCCGATCAGCCCCGGGACCCGCATGCCTTTGTTCCTCTGCCGGTACCTTCATGCGTGTGGAGAGTGGTCTCAGCATGGTGGTGGCTGGTTCTGGAGGTCTTCGGCTGCTGGAGCCCTGGTCGGGGCTGGGAGGGAAACTCAACCCGCTCCCCTCCAAGGGACCCTGGCAAGGACAGCCAGGCGCGGGGGCAGGAGACTCTGCGCTGTTATAAAGTACAGTTATAGTTATAAAGTATAGGAAGAATAATACTATTACAGTTCGGTGACTGTAGTGAACAATATTGTGTATTTGCAAGTTGCTTAAAAGAATAACTGGGTGTGGCCTGGGGGGCCCCAAGCATAGGATGAACCCAAATAGTACCACGTCATCTAGGCCTGTGTACTGTCTGTCCCAGTTAGCTAAGTAATGCTTAGAGTAGCCACCCTCACCAAGAAAGAAAATCGCTGAAAAGACTAGATCTCATTAAAAAAAATTGTTGCTATATATGAAGGTGGATGTTAGCTAGACTTCCTGTATTTATATGCAAATGCAGAATTATAGACCTGAGACTAAAACAATATCTTGTATCAATTATCTCACTTTAAACCTATTGGTAAATTCCATGGTGTATAAAGCAGTTTTTTGTGTAGGTGTGCTTTTATTTTCTGTCTTTTGATTTTATCTTTTTTTATTTAGATACACAGAAGTAAAAACAAATGGAAATTTCATCTCAAGGATGGCATTATGAATCTTAACGGAAGAGATTATATATTTTCCAAAGCCATTGGAGATGCAGAATGGTGAAGAGTTGCTTCTTTCCTTTTATAAATAAAATGAAAGAAACTTAAAAAAAAATTAAGTGGACACTTTGAAACTTGGAACATATACCAACCAAAAAACTTAATTTCTGCATGTCAGAAAAGTGCCGTAGAAGCCAAGCTACTGGAACAAAGAGACTTTGACAACATAGACACTACTTCTAACTGGCAAGCCATGGAACTGTAGCACCTGGGATTGTTGGGGGGTGGGGGGTGTTGGGGTTTTGTGTAGGCAAACCATAACTGTCAATTTTAAATACAGGTACCTGCCACTGATAATTAGCATGTAAAACTTTGTCTTATATTCCTTCCTCCAACTTGGGTTCAATCAGAAGATACTTGTTGGAATGAACTGAAGAAACTTCCCTTTTGATAGATTGAAGTGAAACTGCTTATTGTATGTGGTTATATTTGGTAAAAATTGGGTGTGAGCTTTTTACAAAAGGGTAAGAATTATGGTGTTGAATTTTCATTCACTTGTATAAGAGAACAGTTTAGAATCGCATAATAGGTCTTAAATATTTTTACTTGCTATTTTCCCTCAGTAATATATCTATATATATGTATACCTCTTCCATGCTTTAAGAAACACCTAACACCTATTTAAAAGTTAAAGGAAGTAATCAATGATCACAGTTTGGCGATAAATTTTGACCCAGGAATAGATATTTATTTTAATTAGGTTTTCAGACTTATTAAATATAATTTAAAGACGTCTGTCTAGTCTGAATTGAGTAGAATTAAAAGGCTAACTTTCCTTGGAGAAAAATTATATATTTTTTCTTTTAGCCCTGTACCTTACAAAGACACCTCAGATTGGCTCCTTGGAATAGATTTTACTTTACAAAGGTATAATCTAGCAGAAATTACATGCTTATGAATAGATAGTCATTTTCTTTTTGGGCTGAAGTATATGCTTATATATGTGTTTAGGTTTAAGCTAAACAGACATTCATATAACATTCTCTACATTGATTGGAGCATAGGGCAGATGGTGAGGACCTGGAGTTTTATTAAACAGTTTAGCGATTGTAAAAGTTTCTTTGTGTTTCTAGTACAGAATTTAAAGACACACGGATTCTAATTAAACAAGTTTTTTAAATGCAACTTTGTAATTTGAGGGGGAAATTTGGGGGTTAGATGGAGTGGCTCACTAGTACATATTTACCTCTCTTATTTGGTGGCCCTTCCAGGCCACTGATAATATAAACATGGACTCCAGTTTGCACATTGGATAAAAGCATAGAAATTTGACTTGTATATTAAAAGTAATAGAAATTTAATATGTATATTAAGAATGCATAGCTCTGTATTCTCTAAGGGGCTCTAAAGAACAATGTGGCACTGCTTGTCTACAGTGTAAACTTAGTTGCCTGAGAGAACTGTAGGAACACTTCTTGTCTTCACCATTGTGTTCTTACAACTAATTATTTTCATGGTTTAAGTTACTTGTATATTGACTTTTTTAAGTCTTCCATTTTGTCTTTTATTTGCCTTTAATGTGTTTCCAGAAGTAGCAAACACTTTAAAGTATATTGCAAAGAAAAACTGTGAGCTATTATGTAATTTTTTCTTTTTTTTAATACAGAAAGGCTAATGAACTTTTTCTTTTCTTTTTTGGCCTACTTCTCACCTCACTTTATAATTGGCCCCCTTAACTTATGTACTGAACTTTGGTATAAATTGTGGTTTCTATCAAGCTGTAAGTTTTAGAGACCATAACTGCTAATACGGTTTTATTTTTGCTACATCAATTTAGTTTTCTAGGGGGGAGATTTGTTTTTCCCACTACTCTCAAAGCACACACAGATTTTTGTTTATTGTTTTTGTTAAAGAGACTGTGAGAAGAGAGATGAGGGCGAAATCACAGAAATCCTATTGTTCAGTTGTTCTTCAGTATAGTTGCTGGTAGGTTTATATTTACCCAGTGAAGAAAATGACCTAAACTACCTATAAAAGTTTAGCTGTGCTGCAGTGTTGATCGGAACTCTTTGGCTATCTAGTAGTTCTTATACTACTAAACTTGGGCTTACTATGATATTCAGCTCATTGTTTTTGGCCTTCTCTAGGCAAACCTTTGTATTCATTTGAGTTGTATGCAGGCCTGTTTTCAGAATGTTATTTTCAAACATGAGCAATCCCTGCTTTGGAAGTGACTCGTGAGGGTTATTTTGAAGCAAGAAGTTGTATTTGCACCAGTGTATTGCATATTAGTTATGGCATATTTGCCAAATGCTTTTTTACCTGTGAAAATTCTGAAAACTTGTCCAAACAACACTGCATACCAAATTGTGCTCATGTATCACTGCATTGTGTTCCTTCTTAATCAAATAGCATGTTTTAGTTTTAAAGTGGCTTGCTTTAAGAAATGCCACTTGCTTATCTTTTATTGTACTTGAATTCTTAATCATGCTTTTAACATTGTATTTAAAAGATCATTTTAGTTTCATTAAAATGTCATTCCTTTGAAAAGGCAAGGATTCCCACTTTCAGGATTTTTAAATGAAAACATTTATTCATAGTGGAAGGTAGTTCAGATTTGATATTATGAAAATATGGTTTCATAAGGAGGATTTGTTTAGGTTTGCACAAACAGAGATGGCACCTTTTGCTTAAAAAGGGGTTAATAATAACAGTACTAAGTAAAATTTACAATACTAAAGTGTGGAAATGTGTGCCTTTCAGTATTTGTACTCTTTCTTGGTGGTCATTTGAATAATCAGACCATTTGAATGCCTAAGAGCACATTTTATTTCTGTGGAGTGCCACATTTGGCTAAACCAACTCTTTAATGTGCAATTAATTTCTAGAGTAAAATGTCTGTTATGTGAGGGGATCTTTATATTGGGCTTTTATATTTTTTTAAATGTTCACATTTCTTTCTGTTAATTGTCATCATAATAACACATTTATATTGTTGCCTCTTAAAATCAAAGCCACCTTGATGTAACTCTCCTAAGATTACATCAAGATTTGAACAGTATGTATAGTGATTAAAATGTGTTCTTGAAGAGCATATTCTAATAGATTCAGGTTTTAGAAAGCAAGAACACAAAAGTATAATAGCTTTTATATAAAGATTTTCTTTTGCTATATTGAAAATCAAGGATTTGGTTTTCTATTGCTTTTCTGGCTTTTTTGGAAGAATTAAAAAGGGTTGCCTCCTTCAAAGTAATTTTTTGATTATCTTATAGCAATAATGTCGTCATCCTTTACAGAAGGTAAAATATGCCTTGTAACAAGAAAACAGACATAATTTACTCTTGGAGTTCCCTTTATAACTTAGCATTTCTTTCACTTGAGAGAATTCCTATATTTTCAGATTATTTCATCTTGAACTTTTTGGAGCTTTTGTGCAATGTAATATTTTATTGATCCATCTTTGTATGTTTTTGTTGTATTTCAATTATCTCACCAATCTGAATCAGCTATTTCAGATTTTGAATTTTTTGGTTAAAAATTAGTTACTTTATATATTTCCTCATTGGTTTATGTTTATAGTTTTGCATTTGAATAACCTATTATGCTATGGAAATTACTCTGAAGTTTATATTCCCTTTTCAAGCCTGCCTTAGTCTATCTTTTGACATTTTCTATGATTTAAGGAAAAAGACGCCAAACTTAGTATTTTTGTTTATTTTGAGGAACAATAGAAATTATTTTCTTCTCTTGTGAGGGAAGAACTGCATAGTTAGTGACAGTTATTTCAGTCGTATTTCCTTAAATTGGTCTAATATGTGTCGAGGCTACAATTTTTTGGGTGGGTGGAACTAATCCTTTTGCTGTTCTGAGCTACTATTGTCAACTGCTGTTGTACATACTGTTATGTGTAAGGGCGTAAATATATTTATTATGTTTGTAAAATTCATTCTGTACAATTGCAGATCAAGTTTGCTCTTCTGTGATATACGGGATATTATGTTTTAAAGACCATCTTGGAATACAATTAGAGAACTTAGTATTTTGATGTACTAAGGCCTATTTTAAGTTTAATATTTTACCTTTGCAAAAACTTTAATTAAAGATGTTATTTAAAAAATTATGTGGCTTGCTTTGCTTACTAATATGTGACACTGCTGTATAGAAAACGGGAATAAAATGAATAGTTTGAAAAGGAAAATGTGGGACTGGAGCCATAGTACAGCAAATGGGACATTTGCCTTGCGTGTGGCAGACTCAGTTTGAGCCCCAACATCCCATATAGTCCTTGAGCACCGCCAGGACTGCAGAGCCAGTAAAAACCCCTGAGCATTGCTGGTGCAGCTTAAACACCAAAAAGTAAATAAATTACATAAAGTGAGGGAAATGTTTTACTCTGTTAGGAATTTCCATTTCAAGAAGTTACTAAATTCTACATACCTTTTAGTAGGCCTGAATGTCGGTCTGAATTATTAAGGTCTTATAAATTCTTAGTAGCTTTTTCCTTTGTGGCCTCCTGAGCAATCTGTGCCCATTGCCTGTTACCCAGTGGTTCAGTATTCTTGCTTGTGCTCATCCCTGCTGGTTGTCACCAGGGCCATACCTGGCAGTGCTTTGGAGGTCTTGCAGTACAAGGATCGAAGCATTTGGGTCCTAGCATTTGCAAGGCATGTGCCCAAGCTCTTTAAACTATCTTCTTGGCCTCCTTGAATAACATAGAAAAAGAATAGTTAATTTCCAAGCACATGGGAACTTATTTTTTTAAAAGATGTTATTGTATTTACCTTTGGTTTACAACAGTCTTCCTCAGCCAGGAGCTATGTGATCCTCTGCAAGTCCCCAGGTATTCCAAGGGGGCCACAGGTAAAAAGCCACAGAAGTGGGAGGCCATGGGCCAAAGACAGGAGTCTAACTAGTAGGATAAGATAATCACAGGGCAGAAGGAAATGGGGGCAGAAGCAGGTCAGGAAGGGGAAAAGGTTAAGAAACACTTGTTTACAATACTATAAAATTTCAGGAATACAGCTTCATACTAAGTATATGCCTCACCATACTCCCTGGACTTGGGAATTTAAATTGGTCTAAATCCATAACAGTGTAACTGAAAATTGATTAGAATGTCATATTAAATACCTTTCAACTTAATGTTGTATGATAAAATTACTTGGGACATTTTGTGTTTAGTTGATTTTTTTTTCATAGTTGAGAGCCTGTAAATAAATGACCTAATATGGGAATCAGATTGTTGAGATTTATATTATATATTAAATATATTTTAGGAATTATTAAATATTGGGTATATTTTATAGTTATATGTGTCATAAACCTTTTTCTAATTTTTGAATACTGTTACTAGTAGCATGAAAATCTTATAGTTAAATCAATAAAGATATTGTCAGCAAATCTTGTGTTTTGTGTAGTTCAATTGAAGTATCTAGTGATGGACTTTTGTAAAATCACTTTGTTAGGGTCTTGAGAATTAAATGAGCTAAGACATTTATAGTTCTTAGACTAGTGGTATTATATCCTCAGTGTTGTCACAAATTCCTTTCATAATTACATATTTTAAGTGCTGAATCTGAGAAGAGATAGTAAAATAATAAGCAAAAGAAAATGTAATTTCATCAAGGGGAGGCAGTGAAAGACTGGTGAACGATCCGACAAGACTTGGATGTTGAGTTTGTGAAGTGCATCTCACTTTGGTAAGACAGTGCCCAGGGGAAGGAAAATCATTCCTGCAGGAAAAATGAAGCAGAAGATAATGAAGCGTTTTTCCAATCTAAATATTTTCTTAATTCCCAAATCTAAGATGTAGTAAAATGATTGTCGTACTGGATATTTTTTGACAACTGTAAAATGGAATTTTTTCCCCCATTATTGTTAACATATATAAAATACAGCAGTTTTTTTTTAGATTTTATTATCGAATCACTGTGAGATCTTTACAAAGCCGTTCATAATTAGGTTTCAGTTATACAGTGTTCCAACACCCATCCCCCCACCAGCATACATTTCCCAGCACCAGTGTCCCCAGTTTTCCTCCCATCGCCACCCAACCACCCTCTCCCCCACCACCCTGCCTCTATGGCAGGTGCTTTTCTTCTCTCTCTCTCTCTCTCTCTCTCTCTCTCTCTCTCTCTCTCTCTCTCTCTCTCCCCTCCCTCCCTCCCCCCCTCTCAACAACCCCCCCCCCCCCCTTCTTGGGCATTGCCTCTTGCAGTACAATACTGAAAGGTTATTACGTATATTCCTTTACCTACTTTTAACACTCATTTCCTGTCCAGCATGATCATTTCCAGCTATTATTGTCATCCTTGTCTATCTTACCTACCGTCCACCCCACACACATTGTAGTTGATTCCAACCACTGACCAGCCCTCCTAGACCCTGTTTTCCCTGGCTGTGGATAAATCTACAGTATATACTTTGTATATACCACAAATGAATGCAGGAATTCTTTATCTGTCCCTTTCTGACTCAATTTCACTCAGCATGACACTAAGTCCATCCATTTATAGGCACATTTCATGACTTCATTTTTCCTAACAGCTGAGTAGTGTTCCATTGTGTAGATGTACCATAGTTTCTTTAGCCATTCGTCTGTTCTAGGCACTCAGTTTGTTTCCAATTCTGGCTCTTGTGAATAGTGCTGCATTGA